TTTAGTAACAATCTTTGGAAGTTCACCCGTAATTACCCAGGTTGAGACTGCAGGAGGCAAGCCAGTATAGGGTAGTTTATTTTTAAATTATCTACCATATGGAATAGCTTATTTTTAACATAAGTTTTTATTGAAAAACATGTCACACTTACAAAAAGATAAAACATGCTTGTAGAGGCCATTTGGCAATTTTTAAGCTGCTTCTTGTAAGAAACAAGGATATCAACTTAAGCAACATGACTGGGTGGCTTTTTTAAATGTCCCACTATCCTTTGTGTGAAGAAGATGTGAAGAAGAAGTTTCTCTTCTGAATGCAATTAGCTGATTTCATGGCTAGTTTTTACCTGTGTTCTCTGGTTTGTATTCCACTCTTGATTATGAAGAAAACAAGTGACTGGACCTTGTCTGTGAGGATTCTGAGCAGGTTCCCATATACTGTAGATATTACAATTATGCAGTTTAATTGATTAGACACACTATGTACTGTAACTGAATGCTCATGTACTGTAGAACACATAACCCTTGTTTTGAAGATGTAAGTAGAAAGTCAACAAAAAAAAACCTAAGTCTCCTTTTCAGGAAGCTACATCTAGCTCAATGTTTCCCATATTATATTCATAGTTCATGTTTTTGCTACCTGCTTGTGATACCCAGCACTTGTATGAATCATGAGCCTTCGGCCAAGTGTTTATCCTTTCCTGGGTACATATAGCCTTGTTTATTAAGATGCTGTACCTGCCAAGATAGATAAAATAGCTTTTAGGCTGCAGTTCATAGTTTTGGGGTAGTGATTATATCTGACATAAAACATTTCTGTGTAATTTATTTTTTTCCAGAGTGTATACCCTCATCCATGTGGTGTCCTATCGAAGCACAGAGAAAGACTACAAGGTTGACGAGGTATGTAGAATCACCTTTATTCAAATATGCGTTAATTTAAAAAGTGCAATTTTCAGTTTAAGTATGTGAGACAGAGAGAGCTTAAGGTAATGGAAATTCTGAAGTGACTATCACTTCTCCATTCTCATAGAATATCATGTTTCACAAAACCTAACATTGACTTTAGATTCGTTCTGCTGTACCAATAGCTTTGCTAATTCGTTAATTTGCACAGACATAAATATGAATCAGGGAATATCCCTGTCCGAGTCCAGAAAGAGTAGGGACCTCCGTTTATTAATTATTTTGTGAGGATTTTGTCTTAATTTTTCAAACACAACAAGCTATTCAGATAATAAGAACAGAGATCAAACTAAATAAGACTTTAGCCTGGGACACCATTATATACACTATAAAGCCACATGAAAATCCCACATTCAAATTTTCCAATTAATCAATATCAACAGCGAAAAGGTTTCAAATTTTAGTCTTTTTCCTAATTTGAGGTAGTTTTGGCCATTCCACGGCAGCGTACCAGTAGTGTACAGTATTTATTCATTTCCACAGGATGATGATGATGGACTGACCCTTGAAAACTGCATTGCATCAGGTCTTGTAATTACCAGTGACGACCTGTAGAAGCACCCAGCAAGGAGTTATTGTTACAGACTGATACTTTGCCTGTGCTGGTGTTCCCCTGTGTGAAAAACTTTCTTGAAGAGCACTTTATTATCAAGTTTGCATTTAAAGACATTTCTGTTATTAAAAACCATTACACACATTATTTCAATTCATTTACATTTTTTTTGGAGTCATGTTTTTTGATCCGTATTTCATCGCATTTGGTTTGGAATGTGAAGTTTTAAATGATCTTATTTAGCTAAAAGCCATTAGTGTATCTGCAATTTCTCACTTAAATCACAATAATTCTATAATAACATTATGATGCAAAAAAGTATAATCAGGTTACAATGAGATTTGCTTGTTAACTGACTAAGGATAATGGTACCATACACCAAAGTTGCAAGCTAAATAAGACATTTCACAAGTCAAAGGAAAACCTTACTTAAATATTCCTTTATTGAAAAGATTTTTTCTGGTAATTGTTTCACATGAAGTTATAGTTCCATGATTAACATGGTCAAAATGGTGAGGCTTTTCACAACAGTTTTTGCTCTATAGCATAGCTCCTGTATGATTCCTAATTTTAGTGCAATAATTGTTGTTAGGGGATATTTTGTTTTGGATTTAAGTGACAATTTAAATCTTGTGTTATTTAATACTAACTTTTTTAAAGAGATATGGAATAACTACTGTATGATGTGTCCACTGTTGTTGTATTGCAATGGTTTGTTCCACATAATTTTTTAAAACTTGGTGTAGTTAATAAAATACTTAATTGTAAATGACTGCAAGCTACCTGTTTCTTTATTTGAATGGCTATTTCAAATAGTGCTCGATTAGCACATCATGGAAACATAGTAGACCCATAGTATGATTGCTACTGTTTCGGTGATACTGACATCTGCAAAAGGGATAAAAAATATCTGCATAACTGTAAATATTCTCCATGTCTAGACTGAATCCATTTAGAGGTCTTATAAGGTAAGTTATACATCCATTTCTTCAGCATTATATGCAGACAATTGTAGAATAATTTATTGTTAGAAACACATTCCTAGGAAAAAAAACTCATCTGTCTTAATAGAGCACTGTCCTGTATGATTAAGACTAAAAAGGAACAGGAGTTGTGTGTATTGCAGAGAATGCTAATGATTTCAGTTGCTCAAAAGTCATGTGTGGATTTGATATGATGATTTTAATTAAGGTGGTAATTCTTTTTAATAAGGTACCAATGTTGCTGTTGTGTCATGAGGCTGAATACGTTTGCAAGTATTCAAGCAATAAATAAATCAGTTCCCATGAGTGACTTAAAAGGTTCTCAATTTTTCAGTGCTGACCTATCTCTCTTAATCAATCAACAGTAACAGAAAATACTTAATATAAACAATAGCAACAACACACACAGAGAAGAACATCACATTGTCTTAGTTTATGCAACACCTGATCTAGTCAGTTTCAGTCTTTAAGAATGTCTTATTTGTGTGCTCAGGTATAGCCTTATCTTAACTGTAAAATTACTAATTTACAGAGAGACAAGTGTTATCAAAAACAATGTCATAATAGATACCGATGAGTTAAATGGAGTACAAAAGCCACTGCAATATTTGGCATGGAGAATTGAGATGGGTAGAAGGGGATGCATCTAAAGAGAAACACATTGTGTGTTCTGTATCTAGGGTTATTTATACTTGCATATACAGTACATAATGTAATACATGTATACTTCCCTTCTGACAGTTCAGATTATAATTACATGAAATGACTTGTCTGCAATTCTATCTTTCAAACAATTGCAAACAAGCAATCACACGCCGCTCCTAGTTCTAGATCGTGCGGCATTTCTTTTATTTGTAACTGCAAATTTTCAAGCAGCTGTTCGTGAAAACTTTCCTATCTCTAAATTCATGGATTTCCATATTATACACAAAAGGCAAAAAAATGTGTTATACAGTATGTTATGTAACATTTCATAAGGTTCACCAGAAACAAAAGTAAAATGTGGCAGACTTTCAAAAGATTCATGGGTTTCCAAGGATTGTTAGAGTGATAGCAATTCAAGTGCAGTATGAATTTGAAGAAAGTTGTTTAAAGAAAAAACTTTAAATGTTGCATGGATTCATCATCCATCATGCATGTTTACAAATATCATTACATTATGGCTTATCAATACCCACTAATCAATGATTTTAAAAGAGATTAAGATAATTATCTCAATAATTAGCAACCCCCTTCTAAGCAATTATCAGAGCTGCTTTTCGTCTGTCAATTCAATCTCATTAACCTTTATCTTTAGAAAGTTTAACTTTGCTTCTTCAGTGAAGAAGCCTCCTGAAGGCCTATTCACAGCAGCATAATGAATAAATGTACCATTGAACTCAATATTCTTGGAAAAATAAAGGCCATTTATAAACTTTAAAGTAAGATACTCATTCATTGGAAAACTAGTCAGTCATTCAGTGGAAAATAATTTGTGTAATATCTGTTAAGATATACAGAGAAGCAATATGACTAAAAAGAACAGATAAAGGTTTTTCCATGCCGAAAAAAGAGATTCTTTAATTTTCCTTCCAGTATTGAATGAAGCTTTACCCGTTCCTTTGCAGCCTACGCATGCTGACTCAGTCTCCTACTTTGACTAAAAAGCAGTCAAACCAGACAAAATGACCAGCTTGATCTGCACATTGTGTCCTTGAGAGTGTTAAATACTGCTTAGATGTAAGACACAGACACAGTGGCATCACACTTATACGCATGCAAGTGTTGTTTTTGTTTTCCGTAATGCATAAGTACTTTGTGTTGTCTTTAAAGTGACTCCCATCCATTAGCATTAAGTCACGTTTTTCTGGTAAGGTTAAGGGTTGCAGAAACTCACAGCCTAACCCAGGTGCACAGGGAGCAAAGAAGGACAACACCCTGGACTTGGTGCCAGTTGCCGGTCCACTGCAGGGCGTACACACCCACACACAGAGACAATTAAGAGACACTGATTAACCCAGTCAACTTTTCACCATTCACTATTCAAGCTGCAGGGGAATAAACTGGAACTTTGTTCTCCGGGATTAAACCCAGAATCCTAGAGTTTGAGGCCGCAGCACTAATCAATGTGCCACCATGCTGTCATGTGGCTGCTTTACAACACCTGGTGCTAATAAATGAGGACTTTAGACACTGTGCTGGATTCTTGTTTCCTTATGTAGGTCTTTTGCGTTATTATCTAAATAAAATGTATAACAGCTTTTTAATACGTTCTTCCTTATAGACAAATTCAGAGTTTGTCCCCTGAAGATACAGTGTTAAAAACTCCCCATTCTATTACCTCCCCATGACTTTATTTTAGTCAACGAGTAATCACCAACTTCAACATTGTTTCAGAAACATTAGTTTTGTTTACTATAACCTAACTATTCTATATTTGTGTTTAGATGGCGCCAGATTGTGAGAGTGAGTGCCCTTTTTGTGTCATTGGTGAGAATGATAAAACATGGTGCCAGATTACCAAGAATGACCTGAAACTGAGCAGCCCGTAGATTGGAAGAGTGATATTGAATCCCGCTGCCGGAATGTCACCATGTCAGGTCGGCTCTTAAAGGCCCAATTCTACTCGGTATTGGCTTAATCAGGATTAACGCCTTTCCCCAGTTCTTAAGTGTTGCCGTTTTAATGAGACCTGTTAAACCTGCTGGACTGCACCTCTCTGGCACTACGAAACGACTGCCCTGGGCTGGAACATACTATTCACGACGTATGTGCATGGAAGTCAAATAAGAACTGCTTCTGGACCCACGATCATAAATGTCCTTGGCCACTTCAACATTTAGTGTCTCAGTAAATGTCTCAGTGTACACGCAAGTCCTCCTGTAACTCATTTCATAGACAGCTGCACGAAATCATTGCTTAAGCCTGGACAAAAACCCCCTGCTGAACTCCCTAGTTGTCAAAATTTACAAAGCAGATATTCTTGGAAGCGACAGCACGGCTGACATGATTGCATAATATTAGTAGCAATAAAATCTGGCTATGAATCAAAACGCAATATAATAAATTGCTTTCTTTAGTGGTTGCAACCCCTGCAACCCTGAATTGGATAAATTGCTTGGATGGATATACTGTATGCAGAAGATCAAATATAGTTTTATTCCCTGCTGAAAAGAGAAGAAAAGAAACAATGCTTTGGCTGTGGAACCTTCTTTGGATGTGAAGAAGGCTCCACAGCCGAAACGTTTTCTTTTATTCTCTTTTCAGCAGGGAATAAACCTTAACTTCTCCTTTGCAGCCTACGCATGCTGACGCGGCTACCTTCTTAAACTATATTTAGAAGATATATGCATTATCATACAGTACATTCTACATATTATGGCAGAATACAAATTACACTCCTAACAGTGGGGATATGAATATTGAGAATTTGTTCTAACCAATTACTGTACCCGACTCATTAGGGGTCTTTATATGAAGATTAGAATAAGAAGAACACTGAATTTTGGCACTTAAATTTGTAGTGCCGTCCATCCAGAAGGAAATACCGCAGGAATAGACGTCTGAAGCAAAGGAACAACTTCAAGAGTTCAGGGGGAAATTTAAGGAAGCTAGCTAAACTAAACAGATCTTTAGAATCAGGGATACTCACACTGTATAAAAAAAAAAAAAAACAATGGGATTTTTGTCACAAGAAATCAAGACCTTGGTTAAACATTAACTGCAGGACCATACTTCAGACTCAAGTCATTTTTTACAAATTCAGCATCATCATTTTGCAGAGTTCTATAACCTCCCGCATGTCATAAAATGAATGATCAATAAAGTAAAGAGACAATGCATTATACTGTACTATAACAGGTAGGTGCAATTTGTGTTAAGTGTTGTCTTATATTACTAATAGTTTTGTTAATATTTGCTCATGTTTGCCTCTGAATTTCGCTGCACCACAGAATCAAGATCTCATATCCCTCAAATTATACCTTCTGCTTGGGTATATCCTTGATATTCAAGTTTGTTTTACATTAGGTGAATGTTATTGCCCTTCTTCCCTTTGTTATATGCTCATTTTAGAAAAAGTATTAATATAGAGTTTATACGTATAGGTCCCAGCACTCCCCCAAACCACTCAAGAAATTTCTGATATCAGAAGAAAGTGCCCAAGCTGGTCATGTAGTAACAACCCAATTTTCATTCGACTTCTTATCCCAACACAACACTGACTAGGGCGCCAGTCTTACTTAAATACTCAAATCTTGCTTCATCATGATGTAGCGGTTATGTAATGGTTACGGACAAGAAAATATTGTGTAGCACTGCAGGAAAGTCAAGTAGATAAAAACTTTTTCAATATAATCTGGGCTTTCTCAAGCTTTTGGGCTGTTGGGGAAACATTTAAGCCATGGGAATTTGTTATTTTTAACATTACAAGAGTTATTAATCTCCTCCTCCATTACAGAAACTGTGACTTAACTATTTAAAACACCAAGACAGAAATGTTTTATATTTTTAAATTAACTTTATTCAAGAATAAACCTAGAAATTTCCAAGATTGGCCTTGACTTAACATACAGCATAAATTAAACTGACCTTAATGGCAAATAGTAATTAGTCCATCAGCATGAAGGTTAAAAACTTCCAGTGTCAATGTTTGAAACATATTTAAAAGCCTTGTCATTTACTCTGCAAATGGAAAAAAAAAACTACTTGGAAAAACTAATTCACAAATCATATGATTATACAAACGTACTTGAAATGGAACCATTGAACAAAAACTCATGTCAACAAGTGAGAATCATAAATTACATTGCGTGATATACTGTATGCCTATCCTTCAAAACCTTGAAAGATGTAACAGTCAATTTCTCAGTTCATGTGAGGTGCTCCATGCGAGATTAAAAATCAAATTGGCTTGTTCTGTTATTTAAATTGCAGGTCATTCTGAAGAAGTCTCAAGGCCCCATGTCACTAACTGGCCTGTTTCTTCTCCATTCTGTAAAAAAACAATTAAACATCTTTATTTCATACTGTCAGCCTAACATCCCCTCTACAGCAAATACGGTAACACATGCAATACTGTACGTAATAACCATTGATAGATTAACAGTCTCAGATAAAACAAGTTTAAAGGCTACAAAATAGAATAACAAAATATGAAGTGTAAAATTTAGTTTTATTTTAATTTAACAACTTCAACTTAAAACGTTTTAAAAGAGCAGTTCCCACACTTTATCATACACAGAACAATGTATCTACTCTAAACATTTACTCTTGAATAAAACTACGAGTCTGCTCTAAAACTCTTAAGACTATTATTCAGCCAAGCCTTGGCTTAAATGTTTCTCATCGTAACCTCTTAGATGTCTTTAAACCTGACAGCTCATGCAATGATTTAAACCAGTAACTTACTTGTATTTAATTAGTCTCCCGGCCTGAATGAGCTGAGCAGTCTCATTTGTGATGTGGCAGGCAAACAGTAACCAATTCCTGGGCTGCACTTTGTAGGCAAATCTCATGAACAGGAGGGAGTAACAGCAAAGAGCTGGAAAGGCAAACATTTATTGAAGACCAGAGCTGCAGTTCTGAACTTCACCCTCGTCAATCACTACAGCAATACAGTATGTGGTGGAACAGAACCACTAAAACTCACAGCACTAAAGCTTAGGGTGCTTTCAGAATTGGCCGCCCACTAGTTTGTCAAGTATAAATAACTAAGGAACAGGTAATGGGTTTATTCCATGCTAAAAAGAAAGGAAACGCGTTTCAGCTCTAGAGCCTTCTATATTGCGTTTCCTTTCTTTTCAACATGGAATAAACCCATTACCTGTTCCTTTGCAGCCTACGCATGAATAACTAAGTATGTTCGAAGACTTTATTAAAAGAAAAAAATGTCTTTTGTAGCATGATCAAGGAAACAATGGAAATATTTGATGTATTTCAGCAAAAATATATTCTGACCTCTCAAAAATAAATACAAGGGGATTAGAACTGAAAAGGCTTTAGGTTAAGGGCTCTCAGGCTGGCTCTAAGCTCATATCTGACAAAGGTTATCCTGGGATGCTCTACGCACAGCTCTGTAAATGTGAAGGTTTTCTCACCGAAGGTCATCCTGCCACTGATAATCTCTGGGCTTTTCTTCATGTCAGTGATGGCAGCAATGGGAAGCCCCCAGTTAGCCACAGGTCCCCAGAAGTGCTGTGATTGGGGAGAAAAAGACACTGGAGTGGATATAAAACCCCAGGAATGTCTTTCACCGTTAACAAAACAAAAAACTACTTCACCGGCACAAAACACACAGTAACTAAAGTAGGCAGACCAGCAGACTAAATCGATGACTCAATTACGTAGCCTTATGCTGTCATTTTGATCAGTTGCATAGACAGACCATTTCCTTACCGTGCTGTAGTGGACGGGTGTCAGAGAATGTTTTCATCAGGTCATATTGCCCGAGGGAAAAAAACAAACAAAAGAGGGGGGAATTAACTTTTTAGAAATGAGCTCAGGTTTCAGAGAAGCCCATAACATATCTCACAGCTCTGGGGTAACGACTGAGAAACCAACGAGATACAGTACTGCTCTGAGTTTCTAGGAGACTGTGTAACTTACCAGTGCTTTATTTTCGCTTGGATACAGTACTTAACATGAATTCAGGGGCAAGTTTTCTTGTATGTGAGTTTAGAAGAGGGTCTCCAGCTCTGGTCCTTGACAACCCTAATCTTGTCAGACTCAAAGGTCGCTTTAAATCTCTTCAGCTTTAAGAAGAAGAGGGACATTTGCAAACTGCTGACCACTGATTAAAAAAGCAAATCAGTTGTTCAGTTAAAGGAGATCTGGCCAATTAGGACTGAGAGACATTCCTAAATTTGAGCACGGTTAAAATGCCCCAGGTCTTTAGAAAACATTGTTTTAGTGGTTACCAATAACATTTGTTGATTTGGGCTGTCTGGGACATGGACTGGAGACCCCTGGAGTACAGTAATACAAGTATGAAGAAGACCAAAATGATGTTACCTACCCAGAGTACTGAAATACAGTAGTTAGGGTAGGTAGGGCCTGCAACTTGAATACTTTTCAGTTGTGTTTTTGTTGAAACGGCAATTGGTGAATATCCGGATATATTTAACATCAGCTCCCTCTAGGGTTTAACGCACAGCTTCAATAACACAGAAACTGGCCCTGGTGCATCGTGTTTAGGCACTTTACTGTGGATGCCATTAAATCTGTTATGTCAACTGCCAGGGTAAAAGTAATACTCCATTTCTTCACTTTTCCCCCCGTGATTTCCGCTGCAGATATTAATCATTTACGCATTGCCTACAGCCAGGTAACATTTATACACAAACCTTTTCAAAGCGGAAAGCAGTATAAACATTTGTTGCAGGAATGCCAAGAGAACAGTAATGTACAACTTCTTGTTGTAGCACAAGTCGAATACAAATGATCGATAAAGGCAGTGCTAAAAGACACTGTCAGCTGTCCGCTTGTAAGAACAATGTCAGGTGAAGCATGTTCAATCGTGCCAGCTTTGCTGGAAAACAAATGAGCAAGTTAGCAGCACTACTTGAAAATGTTATCAGGTGATATTTCATATTAACACACTAACCACCATTGTGCGTTATGATTTAGAAACCCTGAATATTACAGGCGTACATTTTCCTTGGTTTGTATCGCGTAAAAAAAAAGCCGCTGAAACTGCACCCAAACAACCCGTCCCTCAAATCCTGATAACTTCATATATACTAATAATACCCCTGGAAATGTTAAGCCATTTGCCAAAAATCCAGTGTCCCAATTGCTCACTAAAACATGAGAGTGCTGCACATGATAGCAAGCACTGCCAGGTAAGTATCAGATAACCGGCTGTGGTACAAAATCAGAGAACGCCATGACCCACAAAAGGACGCGTCTCCAAAAACGCCTTTCAACCTCAGACTCCCATACCTCGTCAAGTAATCCCTGAACTCCTTGCTCCGTAGGTGATCAACCGCTTTGCGAGCCAAAACACCAGCCATGGTCTCGGTCGGGGGGAGGTTACGGAGGGACCCTTCTCACGCAGGAAAAAAATCAAAACAAGACGACCGACAACACCGCTGGGCCGAAACTCTCCTGGCTTTCAAAGCAGGTTGACATTCAGCACGACATTCCTGTTCCGCCTTCCGGCAAGGCGGGAGATACGGCAGAAGCCCGATCAATCCGATCGTATCTGAAAGGCCATTGGCTGTTGCTATGCTGTAAATCGATTTGCAGCGACTGTCGTTGTTTCCCCTGCTCAGAATAATGGAGGGAGTGTCCCTTTGCTAGCTGTGATTGGTCCGGGGTTAACCAATGATCTGCGCGGCACTGAAGGGCAACAGAGGACGAAATAGGTTTGAAGGCGTGTGGTGGGTTACTGGGACGTGTAACCTGTAATTATATTTAATTAGTCTTAATGCCTGGTTGATTTCGACATGAGTTCACCAAGCACGCAGTTTTGTGCAGATGGGATAAGGAGCTGTGGCACTTATGACATTTTGTCATGCTGTTTTCGGTGCAGGGCAGGCGATGGTAAATTCGTGTAAAACCGGGGGATGGGTATGTGATAAAAAAATAAACACGACCAATTAAGACTTTAAATAATACGTGCCCGAATTCCACAGATGCATAACGTTGCCATAAAGCATCAGGATACACGTCAGCGTTTTCTAAACACCAATAAACATTGGTGTTTATGGAATACCAACACCGGAATGGCAAGACGATATCAGTTCAAGGGTATTGAGCAGCCACTTTATCCAAAGGGACATATCTATTCGTTCATATACTGTAAGTTACCGTATGTGATCTACTATTTATTGCGCTGTGTAACAGATCAATAAAAGCAGTGAGTGATGACTGTATATACTCCCAGTTTACGTGGCGTTAATTGCAACACACAAAGGGTAGAGAACTACAGTAGGTGCCGATGTCTCCACACTACTAAATAACTAGTCTCAAAGTAATTAGTGCGAAGAGCAGCGAACCAAAACTAGTAGATACAGTATTCCACATTACTGCTGCCCCCTGCTGTTTCTGCTGAAGGAGACTAATACCGTAAATGTTTGACTCTTGGAGGTGTGAAAAGTACTACAGTACTTTAACAAATCCATTAAAGCTTTCGCTGGCCTTTTTACGAACACTAGAAGCTGATAAAAAATATTGAGTACATTTAAAGCGTTCAGGAGGCATTTCCTTCATCTGACATCTCTTATAATACAGACTGATACATGTGCAACTCTACTGTTTCTGTAAGTGAAATCATGGAAGTTTTTTTATTTATAAAAATGTATATTCATATACATTATTTCATTTTCTTGGGCTTAGATATGCAGGCTACAGTGTAATTCAATATTTGTAAACAAGTTAAACTATATGGACATTAAATATAGGAAGTAAACATTGACTCTCTTTGTTTCATATCCTGGAAAGCTGAACAGACTTCTAACTCCAGCCTGAGTATACAGTGCATATAAAGTCAAATTCAGCAGCTGTGCACAGCTCATCAGTGGAGCAGAGTTGACTTTGGGTAGTGAAACCGGTGGTAATGGATTGATAGCCAGACACAGGCCTAACCGTGTAATCTGAACGTTAATAGGATTAAATCCTTAAAGGATAGTTCACATGGAATTATAAAGGTAGGTATTACTTAATCTATTAGTTATTTGTACTGAGAGTAATGGATACAACCAGAGTATATGATATTGTATGTTTAGATTTTCAGTAGGCTTTTAACAAAATGCGTATTGAAAGATTGATTCTCAGATTGCAGGCAGTAAGCATTCCAGACAAGGCATGTGTTAGGGCTCAGAACTGGTTTACTGACAGTAAAAGGAGTGAATACTCATATCGGAGTAATGGAATTAGTGAAATGTCTCAATGATGTTTTCAAGATAACATCTCTTTCTGATTTAGGTTACGGTACAGTTAGCAAAGCAGTTAATGTTACTGTTGATACCAAAGGAGGAGGATTAGCAAACACTGCAAAATCAATCAATCGGATCAGAAAGAGAACACCTTTGGGACTGGGTCAACACCGGGCAGGTGACATCTGATATAGACACATGTAAGATGTTGCACGCCGGTCGCGGAAACATAAACTGTGAATGTAAACTGGGAAACAGAGCTTGAGGATGCTACAGTACATTTTGGAAAAAGACTTGATTAGAACACAGAAAAGGCTGGGAAGGAGAGGAAGCCATTTGGATCATCTAGCCCATTTGATAGAACACTGTTGATGTTTAAGATATCTCTGTAGAGAAATCAGTTAACTCTTTAAAATTAAAATTGTAGAATTTAAATTAGGGGATGTTATGTTAAAATGGTACAATGCACTCATAAAACCCCATTTAGAATACGTTGTAGCCACTGTTTACAATATGTTGCTTCCATTTCTGTCCTCTTGGTTTTGCATCACTTTTGATTTTGAAGACATTTTTCACCGATGAACGTGATAAACGATCCACACTTTAGGGATCAGCCTGAAGTGAATGCTTTATACTGTATGTGCTCTGACTTTGGTGAAAACCAGTTCTGTTTTAAGAGTAGCAGAGGAAACTCAGCGGACTGTAGAGTTTTAAAACTTTGTAGTTCAAAGGTGAAGGAATCGGAAGGTTAGTTGGTTAAATATTTGTTTCCTGTTTGACAAATATTGTTATGCTCTCTTAGCTAGATCTGTCTTATTTGTTTGAACAGGACCAGGGTTACAGAGTTCCTTTTTGATTGTTCTTTAGTCATCTGTTTGCTTATAAGTCAGGTGAAACAAATAGAATGAACATTATAAAAACTACAGATTACTGCCCAGAACCCTGAGGATAGTGCATATACCCATATATTTAGACCTAACATGTAATTAGATTGTCACAAAAGTCTTAATAAAATGGAGATAACCTAAATGAACACAAATACATAAGATATATTTGGATTATATCCAACAGTCCATTTTCTAACCTGTTAATCAGATTCAGGGAGACAGGGGAGGCAGAGACTATCCTGGCAGCCAACAGGCGCAAGGCAGGATAGCCCTGGACAGGATGCCAGTTCATCGCTGGGCAGGCAGACACAGACTCACCAGGGCCAGTTTTCCCGGAAGCCGATTAACCTACCAGTACAGTATGTCTTTGAACTGTGTGGAGAAGGGGCACCTGGAGAAAGTCCACTCCGCCAAGGGGAGAACATCCAAACTCCAGTAAGATGGAACCCCGAGTCCAAAACTGAACCTGGGTTCCCAGGGCTGTGAGGCAGCAATGCTGACCACTGTGCCACAGTACATAAAGCCACAACATAAAAAGAAAACACAGCATAATTGATTTAATTGAATTTATTTATAAAGTTTTGGCATGCTAAGCCATTGCACAGCAAAGATGGATATCTACAGGGCTTCTACACTATTCTTGAAAACAAACATCACTTAGAAATACCTGCAGAGTCCCAGAAGCAGTTTCTCAGTAGACTGTATTGAAAGACCCTCAGCATGCAGGTAAACAGATTGCAAGCAAAATCTTCTTGGTGCCTTTAAATCAAGCCACACTGGAAGCAAAAACACTGTTCTAGCTGAGGTCCTTACCTGGAACAGTCTATGGGAAAGTTAGAACAAAGTATTCCGCATATCAGCGCTTGTGGAATATACAAAGTACCAAGGTTTTTCACAGTGCTACAAAAATATTGCACCTCTTAAAACTTTTTTTCTTTTAAAAAAAATGGTTAGTTGTCCAATAACTTAAATAGTTTTTTTTTTTCAAACGCATTAATACATTTTTAAAACAGACATCTATGGAATTAAGCAGGAGGTTACTTTACAAATATTTCAATGCTCAATAAAACAAAAATCTTGGAAAAACAAAAACAAAAGATGTGGATCAAGGGTCTGTGTGCAATAACAGTGAAGAAAACAGGAAAGGAAGAACAGCAAAATAATGACCATAAACTGAGACTATACATGTCATTTGTTTTCATACCCTTGATCTGTACTTTTTGTTTAAAGCTTTATGTCTTTAAAACAAGGTTTTATGTTTTCCAAATTGCAAGAATTATATTAAGGCTGGGATAGGAACATTCTACAGTATACAGTATGTTCTCTTTTGAGGATTGTAATCATAACACTCAGTCCTTCCCTAAATGAAAATAAATGGATCTATTTACACTAGATAATGGGCAGTTTACTGTTTTAAAATGTGGATTAGCCAAAGCTCAATGTTGTAATTAATTGAACAAGTTACTTTTTAAATAGTCAAATTAGAGAGGTTAATGCTACTGTTCACCATGTGTTGTTATGCACTGCTGTGCATACACAGTGACAGGTTAAAAGGCATCAAGTTTACGTTTAAAGATAAAAACGTTCCACTTTTCCACTATTGTAATGTTAAAACAGACAGTAGTCCTATTGCTTTGGTGTGGATTTCAAGTATTTTGAAGCAGAGTGCATTGTTTGCCTAATATTGCCTTAGAACCTTTTGTGTTAATTGAAAAAAAAAATCAAATTTCAGTTAAAAAAGAAGCGGTTACTCTTTATATGCTGAATAATTGGGTGAAGACCTCTGAAATTCTGTTTCTGTCTGGGTTTCTATGTCAATTGGTGAGCAGATCAGAAACCCTGATGTATTGTAATGGCCACAGACTGCAGGAGTGACATTTGGGACACAAACAGACTGGGTGGTTTAAAATGAGGAAAACTAGTATTAACAACGGCATGGGAGACTGCAAGGTCCTGCTTGTCGGACAGTGGCGCACTGTCTCCTGCCTGCATGAGCCATATACAGTACCATTTGCTCCTTGCCCACTCCAGGGGACTATTAACTTGTATATCCCAGTGTGGGCCTGGAAGATTGACTTGTGTCAGAGTGATCCACGGCACTGTGAGCTGCTGAGTTCTGCCTGATCTGCTATCTCTACCTTAGCGCACTGATACTGGAGAAAGTTTACTGCAGCTGAAGTCCTTCTAATGAATGTCACACACTCTGAATCCTTACAAGCCAAAGAACTATGGTGTCTGGGTTTCTCGGTAATGTACTAATAATGTACTTCTTTTGGATAGCCAAACTGAAATTTCAAGTGCTTACGGTTTCTGTGGTTCTCCTATGCATCAATGTTGCTTGGATTCTAATTCAAAGATCCATCTCTGCATTTAGCTGCACAAACCTTGAAATACACACATACCCCAACTGACCCAAACTGAAAATATAATGCTGGCTCTACATACTGTAAATGTTTTATCATGTAATCCTTTCTTAAGCTGTGATTTTTTAATTGAAAAAAGTGCAACATAATATTAAGAACATTTACATATAGAGAATGACCCCAATACATAAGTAAATCAGTAAATATATAATAGGTAACTCTACATATAAAGTGCACTTGATTTACAAAGTAAATTAGCAAAATCACATACCACATACAATAGTATCATCAAGATACAAAATTTAAAATGAAGTGAAGAAAGACATTCTGGCATTCAGAAATAGTAAATTTTGCAACTAATTTGCAATTGTGTGTTTTGTTAATAGGACTAAAATAAGTTGATGAGGTTGATCTCCAGCTGTTTACGTCATCTGGCAACATAGCTCTTGAATGCACAATAAATAAATCCTGAACTACTCCAGTGCAACCCCAACAGCGAAGTACAGAAAGCCACTGTATTTAAATGTTCTAACAGGGCCCAGTCGAATGGTTCACTTCTGTGATTTGGCAATAATAAGTTAAGGATTCGTTTTTAGAAATTTGGATACACTGTTTCTTTTGCTAACGTTGACCTTTATACAATATATATTTTACAATTTTACAGACACAACCAACATTATACAAAAACATTGTTTTGTGTAAATGCAAAAGGAAAATGAAATAAGGGTTGAGGAATAAGGTCTTTGGAAGCAGCCATTAAGAACATGTTGGAATTATTTCATACCTTGATGTTGCCTTAAAGGTCTAGCAGACATTGCCTTCATGCAGTTCATGTTTTCATTATGAACATGAAAATAGCCCAAAGTTAAAACTGCTAAAGCAAGCAGGTGCCTGTAATTTAAATTAGATATAGTAAATATAAACAAAGTAAATGACACCTTTGAGACGGAAAGCTAGTATACTAATATAAAGAACACCATGTTGAAAATGTGTACTCTTTGAATTTGGATAGACTTTGCATTGCTTTTATACTTTGCAAAACAGCCCTCTTTCCTTGATGGAAAAACAATTGAAGGTAAGTGTTCTGTCGATCAGGTAAGGCATATATTCCAGGATTGCTAAAAATAGTTCTGTCTGGTACTATCTCAAAGCATATAATTTTGTCTTTTATATCTCTACTGTTGTGCACACATTTTCAGGGATTTGACATGCATTAGGAGATTTACTACATCCTTTTCCATTCTGCGTCTTTAATCAATCACATATTGTTTCACTTCAGACAGCATCCTACGATAAAATACTGAAAATGCGGCAAACTGTGTATTGTAATTGTGTTTTATCATGTGTATTCTTTTTATTTATTGTTGTCATTCTGTAAAGCGCTTTGAGAAGCCACCTTTAAAGGCGCTATATAAAATAGTTTATTATTCTATTTCTACAAGGACAGCTAGGACATTTTATAGAATCTCCTTGTATGAAGACACACCTACTGTAGGTATTTTCCGGTAACACTGCACATCAGCATCCTACTATGTTCATTTCTACCATTTACGTATCACACACATTCTACACAAAAAAGAATATTAATCATTATCAGTAGAAAATTCATTGGAGTAAGGAAAAAGTAGCATTTTAAAGGATAAAGGCCTCAGTGAGAGTGGGTTGAGAGTACTCTGATGTGGCCTGAGAAGGAGCCATTATCTCAAGTGGAACTGCAGTTACTGTAGGTCGGGCTCAGTCCACTTAGATAATGCATTAATAGTACTTTAAATATCTTGTTAGAGTTTAGGAGGTTTTTTAATGCTATAGAATATGTGCAGGTTTGCTAAATAAGAATAACATCTAGATTCAAATAAAAATTATATAAAAATGCTTAAATTTTCCTCTTTTTATCAGTTTGGATCAAACTTTTGGAAATTGTTGTCTTAGCAGACCAGTGGGCTGTTTGAGCCAGATGTAATTGCAAAGGCTGCACAGAGCATATGGATTGGTACCAGTTATGTTGGTGTCCACTAAGCCCCTAAACTCTTTTCTTTTTTTTGTCAGAACCAACTACTGTACTGTGAAAGCAACTGAACAAATTGCAAGTATCTTCTCATGCCCACATACAGCACAAATGTGGAAGATGTGAAGTAAAAACAAAATCATAGACTCTCAGTTTTAAAACAGGTACATGTGGAAAACTGAAATACACATTGAAAATGATAAAACTTAATTTTCTCTCATTATTCCACAGACAATTCCTAACTACCCCTCTAATGTGGGTCTTGATTTACATACAGTATTCTGAGGGCTTTATCATATCCATATAAAATTGAAAGAAAATGATGAAAAATGTTTTTACTTCCCAATGAAACCCTTTTGTTCTGGCAAAGCCATTTATATATACAGTGTATACGAAACAATGTACAGTACATGATACTTTCTGCCTGTCTTGCTTAATGGAATTGATTCACGATGTGTTCGTTTGTGCTCTTGTGCATTAGCTATAAGGAAATGTTGGCTTTTGGAATGCTGCGCGACATCATTCCTATTTGTGAGAGGTACAGAGGCATTGTGTAGTGTAACAATTATAAAGCTTTCTGGCCTGTTTTGAGGGCACTTGTTCATTCCCTGCTGTAAAATAATATAGTCCTAAAAAAGCTTCGATATTAGAAAAAAAGGTTTGCTCAGCCCATACATTGTATTAGTGGTTGTCTCCGAACAGATTTGACAATCATTTAATTTTTGCTGTAAAATGTATAGTTTGAAGCTGCCTCTTTCTGCCAGGGAGATATTAAGGTATTTGTCCTTTTTAATACTCTCTTTCCCCAGCTGTGTTACCAAGCTCAAAACTGGACAAGCTGAAGATGTTACTGTGAGAATGGTGAAGTAAAACTAATAGAAAAAAAAAATTGTAACTCCACTTTTACTCTGCTGTGTTTAAATGACTTTTCTGTTCCATATCACTGAAATTGGTCTGGAAATTTGGTGTTATCCGGGAACTGGTTTGAGCTGAACAGGAATTAGTGAGAGGACAGAATCCCAGGGTCACCTACAGTATAGCAGGGCTCTGCTTTAGTCTGGCGGAGACATCCTTTGGAGTTAGGGCACTTGACACTTGATGCTGTTCTGCTCCAGGCCTGCTATAGACGTGTTGAAGTGAGTCTTTTCATTCCTCGTCTCTGGGCCAGACTGGATGACAGCACTGGTTCCAGTTTAGGGGCCTGAGGTGAGCGGTTCAAAGCAAAATACGTCGCTGCCATTGCTCCCTAAATAGAAGAAAAGAGGGAGAAATGTTTTTTTTTTAGAAGTCGTGACATTTCATCACTGCTTGCTGGTAATAGACAATAGGCACAATAGACAGCCTAAATGTAGTTTGAGTTAAAACCATAAAAGGAACAAAGGAAGAAAAGACAGAGGAAAACGACAATGTGAACCATGAATACACGAGTACGTGTTTTTGCACTGTACAGAAGATGGCAGCACCAACTAATGTAGCTCAGTTAATATTAGGATGAATCTGTATGGCTGCATGGTGATATTTAACATCTGATGGATTGGATATTTCACAAGCCTGAATTTGGTCTTTGAAAGGATTTGTGTCTGCAGGTTATATTTTCACCTCTGTTGTTGAATCTCTTGAAAACTGCAATGAAAAGCACTGATCCATGAAAACCAAATGCCTGCCGTGTAGTTTGAGCGAGGCGTGCGGGGCTGTGGAGCTGCTCGGAAGCTCGATTTCGTGGCCGAGTGTCTCTGAGCTGCCAGAGGTCGTACCTTCACCAGCTGGACGTCCTGTCGGATGAGCTGGCTCTGTGACAGGTAGTCCCTGTTCACTATCCAGGGGTGCCGGAGTACCTGCGGGGCTGTTAGCCTCTGATGGGGGTCCACGTGCAACATTTTAGACACAATGTCCTGGGGAAACAAATAGAGTCTCAAACAAAGCTAGCCTTGAAGGTGCACCTTCAGGACCATTCTAATGCACCGTGGGTCTGGATACAGTGAAAGTTGGAGAAATGGTTTTTAACAGTAGAGAAGTTGTATTAAACAGTCCAAAATTTTCCATTAATTTTGAAAGGAGAATTAGTTATTAGAATGGAGCGAGTTACATTTTTATAACAAAGTACACAGTATTTTAAGGACAAATCTTCAGTCATAATATTTTTTATAATATGGAAAAAATACAATCCTTCCATTGTGAAAGCAGACAGTCTAACACCCTGCATTGAATAAAAGTCAGTTGCACTTCACAATGCAATTCTGTGGAAAAAGTAGGTTTGAAAGACTTTCAGAAACTTACTGGGATAATGAAGAGTGAATGAATTGCACAATAAAACATACAGTTTATTACCCGGGAGGACCACAACAAAATGAAAATAACTGTTAGTGTTTCCAGAATATACCCTAAACCTCTACACTATTGTTTCAATTCATGAGAACATTTGTCAGCCTATGAAAGCTAGTCTAAAACTACCTATTGTATGGTTAATTTGTTTCTTTTCCATCCATTAGCAGAAAATCTGTGCAGATTGTTTTTTGTCTTTTTTGCTAATAGTAAGAAAATATCTATCAGATCCAGGTGTGTGAAGACAAAAATATGAACATATGTTTGAGGTAGTGATTTCCTTTGCTTCTGTGAATTCAGAGAAAGGTGTCCCCCTCAAACTTCCTTGCCTACAATCCATTCTTATATGTTTTTTTAAATTCATGGGTGAAAGAACTAAGATGCATCCACCTGGGTGTAACAAGAAGAATGACCATTATTTTCTTTTTAATGGTAAATATTAATGATCTATTTTATATCTCTCCCAATTTGGAATAACGGGTTGATTATCAGTCTGGGTCACTGCTGCAGTCTGAACCAGCATGAGGGTAACAAAAATGTGTGCAGTTTTTCCGCAGGGCCACTGTGGAGCAATTTTGTGTTTGGCACTCAATGAGGTCCACACAGCCATCCAGCAGTGTCTTTTGACACATCCCTCACCGACAACACAGCATGCTCCCCTGTGCCTGACAGGTCTCTGGGGTTGCTGGTACACTGAATACCAGGGATGACCAATGCATAACCAATGTCCAAGAACACCCATTCCAGGCAATACTTGACCAATTGTGTTTCACAATGGGGTGAATTTCTGTTGCTGTCAACGGACATCAAAATCCAGTTTTGAGCTCACTACATGGATGACAGTCCTGAACCTGCACTCTGGAAGAGTACCCCCACTAAGAGCCCCCTGCTATTCTTTTCATGAGAACACCTCTGAACAACCTTTGCTGCATCGGAGACGGTGTCCCAGTTTCCACCAGAAAGTGCATATTGCCCACTTCCGATGCGTGCCAAGATTTCCTCTGGAGTGTCGTCTGGTCCGTTGGCAAAGGGTGTGAAGCTGTTTCGAAAACAGACAAAAGAAGAACTTTGAGCATGAAACAGAATTGTACTGTATGTGCCCGTTACGATGAGTGCAACTTCCCCATGGAAACAGTAGACAAACTCGAGTCAGGTTTGATGGTTAAATGTTTCACAGAGGTGTAGGGACAAGGGTGTTCTGAACTGCTTTCCATTTCTGGAAGTTATGAACTGAAGTTTGGGAGGGAGTAACAATGACAAATCAATCTCACACAGCTGTTCCTAATCACCATCATTACGGAAATCAGCTATACTGTATATTGAAAACCCAAAACCCCTTTCGCATTTCTCTCAAGCTTCCCTTATTACAGCAGCCACTTGGTTTATTCCTTCTGAATGGGGTTCGAGCCTCCTAAGCCTATGGCCTGGAGGATCCCCATTAGCCACCAATTATCTATTTTTTTTTAACTAATCATCACTCTGGGCTTCTATTTAGACAACTAGAGGTCTTAATCCCTCCTCTAGGAGCAGAATGGCTGATGAACTATTTGGAACAAGAATTTCAGTGTTACAGATAAAGAAATGTTTTGGGATAATAGTTGAATCCCACATACATTTGGCTTCCAGAAATGTTTATCTTAGAACGATTCCCTTAAATTTCTTCAAATCTCTTAAATTGTCCTCAACGTGCTGCTACTCTATGTGAACATACTGTATCCTACTTCTATACTTGAGACGTAAAACCGAGGTCCTGACTCTCTGTGGTCATTAAAAATCCTAGGGTGTTTCTCGAAAAGAGTAGGGGTGTAACCCCGGCATCTTGGCCAAATTTCCCCATCGGCCTTTATCAATCATGGCCTCCTAACAATCCCCCTCTGTGAATTGGCTTCATTACTCTGCTCTCCTCCCCACTGAGAGCTGGTGTGTGGGGAGCGTTCTGGCGCACTATGGTTGCCGTCGCATCATCCAGGTGGGGCTGCACACTGGTGGTGGTGGAGGGGACCCCTATTACCTGTAAAGCACTTGAGTGGAGTGTCCAGAAAAGCGCTATATAAGTGTAAGCAATTATTCTTATTATTATTATTATTATTAAATTATTATTATAATTATATAACTCTTGTGTCTGATTTGTCCAGGGATCACTTGTTTTTTTAAATAACACATTTGTAAAACCATGTTGAAAGTCTTTTGATGTAGTTTAGCTTTGGAAACACAGTAGGTTTGCTCTTCTTTTTTCCCTGTTCTAAACAAGGATATTCCTTGATCTGAGTACTCTTGCTGAAAGGTAACTCCAATCTCAGGCCCTCACAGGAGCAAAGACAGATCTAGTTGATTGGTCTGACTGACATGACGTTTATGTTACATTGGGAGCTTCTCCAATCCTCTGGTACCATTGCTGGGGGATCACTGGTTAGACAGTATGGAAGTCTCTTCTGCTGCTGCTGCTCAGATCTGTGTTGCTGAAGGAAGGAAGGAAGGGTGGAATTCAAGAGAATCCTGGAGCTCTGAAATCCTAGGAGACTAATTTGTTTCAGCCTCTGGTTTACATGCGGATCAACATGTCATATTTTTACAACACAAAAGTTCTTCACCCTGCTTTTAAAATCACAAAGACCAAATGCTGTGCTTCTCCTTTGGTACAGGAATGCATGAGATACGCGCATGCAATGTCACAATTTCCTAAACTGCGGAGGTGATCATCTGACATCGGCAGGTGCAGCTGATCCCCGGAGTATCATTATTGAGGACAGTGCAGGGTTAAGGTTATATGTCGGGTTTGTTTATTATTTTTGTCACCCTTCTTTATCCCCAAGCAGAATACATGGAGTAAAAAAATATATTTTTGAACTTTGATCATTTTTCAACCTAAACCACCACCACTAACATTGCACACTATAGAGTATTTGGACATGTGTGTGTATAGTCCAGCATAACCTGTGTTTCATGTGAAAAAACAACTTTTGTTTATAACCCAGTGACAGCAGCAGCTATTTCACGCTTTCTGTGTCTGGGTTAGGAAGGCTCACCCCGCCAGCATTGTGTAGAGTAAAATCCCCAGGCTCCAGATGTCACAGGCAGCATCATATCCCTGCCGCTTGAGCACCTAAAACAGAGTGAAGTATTCTCATTATCCTGAATTGAGGCATGACGTTACTGTACATCTCACATTTGATTGTGGGTAGGGTGCTAATGATGCATATTGTAAAACAAATATTTTGCATAAATATATTTATTTTCTCTCCCCGGTGTGACATTTATAGTGCAGCTGGAAATGTTTAATAGTCATTATTTGTATTATTGTTCTGCGGTGGTGCTTTCTGCAGGATGTTTATTAAGCCCAGTTGCAGTCCCTAGTGCATGCCACCAGGGGGAGCAAGTGTGCCATGCTCTGGCGATCCCCCATCACCAGTACTGCATCTCCCAGTTTTAATAGCATGGCTCTACAGTTGTTGTGCTTACCTCAGGGGCCACAAAGTTTGCCGTGTAGCAGGGCGTCATTAGCAGACCGTTTTCGGCTCGCAGCTGTTTGGCAAACCCAAAATCACAGATTCTTATAGACTCTGGGTCTCCAGTTTCATCCACGTAGAGGATGTTGCTTGGCTTTAGGTCTCGATGGACAACCTTTGAGAATACAGAAATGACAAACACTTTGCGAATACCTTTCCATCCACTGCTTCTGCTTCTCCCAGTTCAGGGACGGGGGGAGCCGGAGCCTATCCTGGCAAGCAACAGGGCCAAGGCAGGGTACACCCCGGACAGGACGCCAGTCCATCGCGGGGCAGACAGACACAAACACACACACTCTCACACCAGGGCCAGGTTTCCCAGAAGCCAATGAACCTACCAGTTTGTCTTTGGACTATGGGAAGAAACCAGAGCACCAAGAGGAAACCCACTCAAACGTGAGGAGAACTCACAGTCCAAACTCCACGCAGCCAGCATCTCTAGGTCCAGAATTAAGTCTAGGACCCTGGTACTGTGAGGCAGCAATGCTCACCAGTGCACCACCGTGCCGCCTTGCCTATATCGGCTAGTCATATTCATCATGCTCACCCCTTGTGAGTGAAGGTACTCCACCGTCTTCGTAATGGTGCAGAGGACCGCACTGGCCTCCCTCTCCGAGAAGCACTTCTGCCGCAGGATCCTGTCCAGCAGCTCCCCTCCCCTCATCAGCTCCATCACCAGATACACGTACTTCCCGTCGTCGTAGACCTGCAGGAGAGAGCGAGGCTTCAGAGGAAGCCCAAAGCAGCGAGGGATCGTTTTCCAAAGACTTTTGGCGGACCAGAGCTCGCCTGAAGACACAGGTTTTTTTTTGTTTTGTTTTTTTTCCAGTTTTTCAATTTTTTTTAATGATCATAAGTTTTTTTTAAAAAATCAAACAAAAGCCATCAAAATGTAATACTAAACTGAACAACCTCTCCTCCTGCCCACCCCAACAAAGACCCCCACTAAACAGGACAAAATAAAAACAAAACCCCCATGACTACAAACAAGGATAACATAAGAAGACAAATCAAATATACTGTATACAGCCATCCATTTTCTAAGTGCTTCATCTAATGCAGGGTCTCAGATGCTCATCTATTCATTAATTTTCTGCACTTGTAACACAGCCTGAATCCTTATTGTATAGTATGTATGGGCAAGGAGTGACTTTTTAATTACATACATCTTTTAATGTAATGATGTTTGGATGCTGTCCATATCGTAGGAGGATTTCAATCTCTTCTGATGGGTCTCTCTTGCTCCTGTCGATTATCTGCAAGACATGAGGCCTCATCAACAGCTCTGGTCTTGATGAAAGAGTTCACAGATTTTCCTTCAAGCGTCTGCTAGTGTCCGCTCACCCTCTCAGGAGTTGGGCATCAGAATTTAATAATTTTATATTTATAAAGTACAATGTCATCTTGCATGAAATTGCATAGAATCATTGGGAAGTCCTACCTCTCAAAAGTTATTTTCTCATGTTTAGTGATGTCAAGCAACATTTTCTTAATTGAATGAAAAATTTAAACTGATATATTATTTTTCTTGCATTAACATTGAAAATTCTTAAAAAGACAAACCGTATTGCAAGAGCACTAATGATTCTAGAACTGTATTACAGTTGCACTGATGATTTCTTACTTTGACAGCATACTCCACACTGGTGATTTTGTGCACACACCGCTTGCACACAGAATATGCTCCAATGCCAATGTCTTCTTTGATTTCATACCCATCTGTAAAATGAATATTGTTCCCATGAAGCTGCTGAAAACCAGAGAGAGAAAAGGAAGTGAGACAGAGCCAGGTGAAGGTACAGGGGACTGAAAGAAATATATTTTTTATCAGGAAAAACATATTTTTTCTTGAATATGAAAAAAGAAATGAAACACGTTAAGAAGATAGACGCGACATTTTACGAGTTATCAAACTGTGTTGATATGTGCACCGTCACCTTGAGTATTTTTTCCCATCTTGTTTTGGATTTCTGGAATGTCACAACTCACTGTCCCCTTAAGCCCATCCTTGCTCTAGAGGGGTCCTGTCTCAGGTTTTCAGTTGCCTTTGGGTAATTCTTAGTGTGTGTCAAAAGAAAGGTCTTTTAATAAATTATTATAATCTTTTCAAAAGAAAAGAACATTAAGAACTTTTTTATGATATAGAGGTGAAATGCTATATCATAAAGAATGAATCGTGCAGAATCTTACTGGCATCAGCCATTTATTTTAATTAGGTTATCATGTAATTCTTGTTTCTTTTTGCAGTGGAATCAGTGCTAATTAGTACTTTAACGACAATTACCTTACCTGGCAAATAGTTATCTGCTCATCCCAATTTGTTTGTGTAAATCAATATTCCTTTGAAATTATTTTGTACTGTAAAGCAACAGGGTTCAGGCAGGTGCCCTGGCTGCATTAGGTAAGCCCCCCACCATTGGGGGCTTGAACCTGGGACTCCCACATCACTCAACAGGGACCCAGCCCGGTGAGCTAAAGAGAGATCTCTCCTCACCCTAGCAGCTGTGGTCCTGCTATCACAGGGAAGGGTGGCGACGTCACCGCTCTGGTAAGCCGGCTCTTACACACCCTGATGGCCTGATGCGTTACAGTACTAAACAAATAAGCTTATTCATCTGATATAACTCAGTCCTGGGTTTGCACTGAGAACATTCTAAATGGTACAAATGAACTTAGTACACTAGCTATAGACAAACTGTGATATAATCCAACATTAACATACATACAGTACATATATACAGTATACAAACAAAATGCACAACCACTGCAGTTTATAATGATGCAGTGACAAAATACATTACAGAGATGAAAACAATATCACTATTTTGTTTTTGATCTAATATAAAATCTTTCAGCAGGTGTCTGTTTTTTAAATTTCTTTAAATGTGTGGAGCATGTGTGTATTTCAGAGGGGTTTCTCCCACTTCTCAAAGATAGTTTGGACTGTTCTAAGCTGTGCCTTTTCCCTGACCCTGGTCCAGGACCAGAGTGGGTGTCAGTCCTTCTTCTTACCCTACTCTTCCAGGTTTCTGCAACCTTCAGCAAAGCAGGTGGCCTTTTCATAATGCATGGATTAAATACATTGGGAATTGTTTTTTTTAATGGATCTCCAGTTTGGAGCTTTTGACAGTTTAAGATAAGGCTATTTCTGGCAAGACTTCTGTGGGATGAACAGGGAGAAGGAGGAGCAGTAGACACGTGCCTCTGGCAAACCTGCTTGTCAGAGCCACTCAACTTTTCTCAAACTGTTACTGTAGCTCAGCATTACCCGACAGATGAGCTAGCACATGGTGAAGGAGTTGCAGGTCTCTCACTCGTGTGGCTGCAGACCTGCATGAGCTGCTATTGCGGTGAAAGCCAAGGAGACCCAAGTTGACAAGACCCTGCAGTCCCAGCTGACTGTCAGATATTCCTTTTAGTTCTGTTGTACGATATGTCTTCAGACCACAGACCAGTCCCCCTCCTGCTGTTTGGGGCAGGCTTTCCAAATCTGATCAACCCTTCACATGGTTTATACTGTACCTGTGCAAAACTCATGATCATACCCATGAATTCTTGGAGGTACCAATAAAAACAATTCAAATTCAAGTTGTTGAGATGTTAGTCTGTCAGCCGGATGGCCTGATTTACAGGAGCAGTTAGCCTGGAACAACCGTGTTTGAAACTCTGCTCAGCAAATTCAGTACTGCACTTACAGTATTTGTTCATATTGAACTGAGGAGCCCATAAGAAGTGCTTTGATTTTTCAGTAATCTTGAACTTCAGAAAACTGTCATGCTGTGCTATTAAAACTTTCAGTGTTTGAAACTCCCAGAGCTATCTTAAGCTAAACTCACATGACCTCATCTGAGAGTTCCAGTTTTCTACTAAATCTAATTCATCCCCATCTTAAAACCCCAAAAGGAAGGAAGGGAACAGAAAAGCAGTAATCAAGTCTATATCCTTGACACAAACTGCAGGAGAGATTATCATACAATCTTTTCGTTTATGTCACAATATGTGGTTGATTATAATTGTACCCCCAAGCTAAACATTTATGATTGTTATTATAAAAGGAAAGGGGAAGCTACTTTCAGTAGATGAAATGTTGTTTTTTCCTTCCCTCAAATGCAAGCAAAAATTTGTTCTTTTACAAAAAGCTGTAGATGTTTGACCACATCAGTTTCAGGAGGCAATAGGCTGATTTATTGCCACTTTTAAATGACCATTTAGTGCCTGCTTGTTTGTACTTCACCTACATTCACTCACTTATTTTAAATACAATAATTTGCCTTTCCTCCTTTGAACATAGAAAAGTTTAATTTCTATAACCTGATCCATTTAAACCTTACATTGCAATTTTAAATCAGTCCAAAGTGGTCAGTATGTTTGTCTACCAGACAAAAGAGAGAAAGGCTTTAAGTGAATGTCTGCCATTTGAAAAAACTATTACAGATGCTGGCAGGTACAGGTACCAGAGATATAAAGAGCATAGCTGGAGCAATTTCAACAGATAGCAGACAAAATAATAGCTCTTTCCGTGTTGATGAGCACAAGGAAGACCTATTTAAAACCGAAGTCATGCCAGTGCAGTCACAGACCCTAGTTATTGCTAATCCTGAACTACCAAACCTGAATTCAGATAAGGACGTCTAGAACTATAGGTAACTACAGGTCCACATCTCTCTTGTCATGCATGACCAGGTAAAGTCTGTTTTCTATTTTGGATGGGGAGAATGATGCAGTGGATTCTCTCAAACACTAATTGCAAGGCCAAGTTTATTATTTCTTGGTTAGTAATATTATTGCCTCCTTCGTTTATTGTGTATGTTTCGTGCACATGAACCATGGCATAAAACAGACCACAGAGATGTACTGTATAGTTGAATTCACAGCTTCCTCTAATGTACAGAGGTCCTTCTAGGCTGGAAGTAGAGTTTTTCTGAGCACCTTTTAAACCATCATTTTTTCTGGAATTGACCCTTTTCATTACCATCAGCTGTGAAGTCTTCACAGTCAAATGATGAGTCTGCTCCTGATGTGTTTGTTTAAAGATGAAGAAATGTCAATGTGTTGTGCAGGTGTGGTGTTTACAGCCATGCGTTGCTTTCAATAGATCCTTTAGTCTTTCATTTGTCCATATTGTATATTCTTAAAATAGACATAAAATAACCATTTCTTAGCAACAGCAGGCACTCTGAACATCTTCACAGAGACCGTAATTTGAATGTTATGCTCTTCTTACCACTACATGATTAATGACTCCACAATCAAAAGTAGAGGAAATATTCACTTGTTTTCCCCCTTCGTAAAAAGTCACATACTTTCTAAAACATTTAGTATGTTTGTCTCTTTTGTGTTTGTTAATCTTAAACATTTTTAGAATTTTAGAAAAAGGGTATGTGTAGAGTCATGGAATTGGTCAGAAAAACCTTTATGTCCATCACAGTTTTCTGAATTGCTCTTTCCAGGAATCAATTTGAACGCACTGAGAATATCAACGGACAGCCAGTTCTAAAATTCATTTCCTGGGTGTAAAAAGGTTCTTAATACATGTCTCCTGTACTGTCTCCATATTCCATTTCCAGAGCTTGGTCTTACTCAGTAATTAAAGGTTATGTGTTCAGTTGTTTACAGCACTAAGGCAGACAGTGCGTGCCAGATTAAATTCACTGACATTAAAAGGCTAGTTATTACTGCCCATAGAAAACCTGCATATACACACCTGTCTGCATTTTACTGTCCTGATGTGAAGCACAATCTTTCATGTTACATCATCTGCCTTGTTCTAGCACTGCATTTAATTTTACTTGTTGTGTAGCTCATGTGTGGGCTTGAAGTGACATTCTAAGAAACTTTTCCAGTAAAAAAGCCATTAAAAAGATGCTTGCCGTAAAACTGTTCCAAAGTATTTTCAAGATAAAATCCTTTAGTACAGTTCATATCGACAGTAAGTTGTCACACCAGTCAAAACCTTATTTCCATACTTAACAGAGGATTTGATTGGAAACATTCCTCTAAAGCTGTGCAAAAGTAGTGATTCTCATTTTCTGTCTGTGAGGAGGCACCTCTGGGGGAGTCAAAGGCAGTGCACTCTATTCTAAGTCTCATTGTTGGGAAGATAGTGCAACATCAACACACACCCCCAGCTCATTTTCCTGCCTTCTGCTCTGAGGAATCCTTTCCAAAGATATTACTGTTAGAGCAGTGAACAGCCCCAGTTCAGGCACCTCGAGTTCAGAGCGTGACAACTGCTTTGCAGGATATACAGCAAGTAAGAAAAAGCGGAAAGCTTCTTGGAGTTACCTGCACAATTGGGTTCACCGTGTTCTGTCGTGTTTCAGACTGAGCCTGCTCTTGTCCAAGGTTAGACGCAACGAAACTGAACCCTCTGAACAGCTGGTGGGCGTTGGCGCTGGGCGGAACTCCTGGGGAGTCTGGAGAAAAGGAAATGGGGAACACAGGCACCGCTTACGAAAAAAATAGCAACTGAGATTGGATGACATAATTAACACATCAGCAGTAGTGAGATCTGCTGTGATCTATGAACACTTTGCCTTGAATTGATACCGCCTTAGGTGACCCTGTATTATGTAACAGTAAGCAAGCAGAATTTACATTCTAAACTTATAGACAATTTTGTTTATATTATAGTTACCGTAGTAGACTTGTGCTATTTAGATATGTTTGAATGAAATAATTAAAATGATGATACTTATTCATGGTATAAATCTCAAATGCAAGATTATCTGAGTTATCCAAAAGTTAGCCTGTCAGATCTGAAAACCTATTCTGATGATGCTGCTATTGTCATTAACAGTAACAGTTGTAACATGTAACACACAAGCAATTCTTGTGAAAAGGGTTGCTGCTCATTTCTGTTTAGTTTTAGACATTAGTCTCTGAATGGGTAATTTTGTCATTGCTAGATTTATTCCAGTTTGATGGTGCACACACGATTATTACGTCTGGATATGCATTTTCTTTTATATCAGTCTATGTAGTATGAATTCATCAACTGAAATACTGATACTGAAATCAGAATTTACACAAATTAATTAACCGAACTTCAATTAAGGCATGGTCAGGTCGTAAAGATTAGGCCCCAGTTCAGGCACCTCGAGTTCAGAGCATGACAACTGCTTTGCAGGATGTACAGCAAGTAAGAAACAGCGGAAAGCTGTTCCATTAATTCGACGGCTTGGCAAATTCCAAATGGATTCTGAAAATACAGATTTCTCACTGTAGGTTTATTGTCTACTATACTGTATATTGAATATTGCACCACTCACTCAGAGCATTCCAAAACTGAGACCAATGAACAGTTGTAAGAAAACCTGTACAACTGGTAAAACCATTACCAACTATTTTCTCATTTAACATGCAACTAGATGTATTACTGGAGTAAACACTGAATTCTTCTTCTAAACCAAACCCTACTCTTGCCTGAAATCTAAGCTCTTTTTAATACCAATTTTACATAATTTTTCCTCCGATTCAAATTTTACCTTAAGAACACAGATTATTGAAGAAGATACATTTCCAACAGTGTTTTTCAGTGGATTTGATTGTTCTAAACTCATTGTCAAATCTGGTGACTGGAGACCTTCAGAGTCTCACTGAACGATTGCTCTGTTGAAACCCCAGCTAGGGTTAGGGTTAGCATTCCCACACTACTTAGGTTTTACGCTCAGTGCTGGATGTGGGGTCCCAGGTGAACTTAGGGACAAGTGATTATTTGTTCCTATCTTTAACTTTTTTTTTTCGGACACTTTTTTGTGCTTATATTGTATATTTCACCGTTCAGTAATCGCATTCTAAAACTGAGTCAGATCAAAAGTTGTAACAGCAACTGTTCTTGTGAGTATAATGTCATAATTACTAAAAAAGTCACTTTTTTTTCAGGTGCAGGCTGTCAAGGTAAAATGTCCAGGGAAGGTTAGACAGAGCCCAAATCATGTGCTTGTATCAGCAGTGATGTAAAATATAAAAAGCAATTCTCACAGGGATCTGTGGTCATCTCTTTTTTTTACACTAGTGATGATACATCTTCACATTATCAATCTACTTAAAGCCTCCACTACTCTTTCCTGCTATTATGATAACTATGTTAATATGTTATCTTATTAATATGGTATGGTTTGTGCGAGAGGAAATAAGCTTGTCATTTGGCTTTTTATATAATTCAGAAGCTTCACATACAGTATCTGTTTACAACAACTCAGATTTAACTATACATGAATATTATTATGAACTGTTTCAGTATCTAACAGATTAATTTCACCAATCAAGTGTGTCTGATGTTCTATCAGGTCAATTCTGTGCTATTAATATGATTAAATAATTTGTTCCTGTTTACACGTACTGTATGGTACATGAAGCTTTAAAACGTTTTGCATCATTAAATGTAGATGCATCATTAGCAACTGTTAGCTCAGCACAAAATGACAATATTTCCACAGAAGATCTTATATAATTGTTTTTGCATAAAGAAGAAAAATATTACCCGTAAAGAGTAGAAGAATTAAATGTCTACATTTTTTAACAGGTGTGTTGACAAAGACAACACTTCTGCTTTGAGCAATTTTTCTTCTTTGGATCTGAAACCTGACACCTAATTCTTCATTGTCCCAGTCAGTCTGTTCTTAATCCTCTCTGTGTTTCACTCAGTTTTCCCTTGTTTATTACATGGGTTTAGTCGTAATCTCAGATGACAGATGCAACAAAAATATATTCAGATAATCTTTAAAGGCTAACCATGAGTGAATGCTTAAAAAAGGGGCATTTCAGACTTTATTTTTTTTAAAGATTAAACATTTTTTTTCTCATTTTTGTTGTTTTATGTGGAGCTGATCTAAATCTTCCTTTCTGCATAATTAAACATATTAGCAGTTGTTTGTAAGCGCAGATAGTGTCAGGAAAGCATTAGTTTGGTGTTATTTAAAGGGAACAGAAATGATATATGCTGACTTGAAATGTTATTAACATGGTTGTTAGTAAGGACTGCCCTGTCAATATATTCGGAATGTAGTACAACATGGCAAATCATTGTGTTTGCAAAGCTGTCTAGGTCTATCTGTTTGTGGTGTTAGTACACATAAGCAATAATTCTCTCCAAATGAAAACAGTACAGCTTGCAGGCTTCAGTCAGACGGGGTAATAAAAGTAGATTATCCGTGACATCACAGAGCGCTTGGAGAGAGTGATCCTCTTCAGAGAATGATGGGAATGCTCCTGTCTGTTATTCCAATGAGACAGCTACCCACAGGGTAGGTTCCTCAGGTACATGCCTATTTTAAACTAACTCTTTAATGTTGCATGGAGCAGAATTTCACATACAGTGCGAAATTCTCACAACAATTATATTCATAATACAAAGAAAAGCATGCCACTCCATATCTGATACTTTACCATGCATGCTAATTGCATGCTTTTTTCACAGGTTTATCTCATTCTGTTTTCCTTTTACTGCTGTTACTGCTAATGTTTTTTAATTCCTTATTTGAGTCCTTGGATGTTTTCTGATGAAAACACAAAGATAACCTAAGAGGTGTAAAGAAGGTAAACGTTTCCTCACAAATGACCCCCTCTTGTTTGTAACCTTCTTACAGTATGTTCCAGTATGTTCCAGAGAGAGCTCTTCTGCCCTGGTGCTGCATTTGGCTTGCTCTGTCAGGACTGTGAACCCAAGAGGCACAGTATGAGCAGTATGTGTGTTGTGATGGGGGTTGTGCTTTCATGGACCCTGAACAAAAGCATTTAATGTGATATGAGGGTTGCATCTGCTCTTATGTTCCCCCTGGGAACAGTCTACATCAGACATACATTACAGTAAAGTTGTAGTGCACTGTACTGTATCATGTTTATCATGTTTTAAATTTGTATCAAAATGTGATGACTCCATCAAAGACAGGTTTAGTCCTGAAAGTTGCTGATGCTAGTTTTTAATTTGTCTAGCAATTCCCAATTCACAGTATCTCCAATGGAGATAGGCAGTTTAATTCCCATCTTGGCTCTCCTTGAAGTGCTTGTACTATTTTATGGCTTATATTCAATTCCCGCAAAGGGGCCGAAACAAACAATCTGAAAGACTTTTCTGCTCCACGCGGAGCAAAAGACTTGAAGTACCATGGGTCTCCACAGAGTTCCAGAGCTTTATGTTTCAAACACTTGCTCTGCCTGCGGTAAGGACTTACCAGTCGGTGTGCGGGAGGTGAACTCGGGGTCAAAGTGGAAAGTATCTTCTGGCCGGCCAACTGCTGGCTTGAAAGGAGGTTTGATTTCTTTCCTGTACAATTTCTTTTTGTGTAAGCATGGACGTAAAGAAAAAGAAATGCATTTTATTCTAGGTATTTGTGATTATCTACAACAGAACAGAGAACAAGTAGTAAAACAGTATTGTTTCATTAATTAATTAAGGATTTTATTGTGACACTGAGACAATGTTGCTGCGTTGCTGCGGCAACAAAAGTGAGTTAATTTTATTGTATTTCAGTGGTTTGCCTAGTGGACAGTAGGTTTGATCTGAGAAATATCACACTTTTTTTTCATTCATCCAGAGTTTCATGATAGGCTGCTCTACGGTAAAGTAGAAATCTATTTCCGTTCAATAAAAAAAAGTTCCAAAAAAAGTCTAGAGCATACCTGTCACTTACTGCACAAATATTAATGAAAATGCACTGAATTAATGTAGAAAACAGAATGAAGAAGCTGTTGGGAAGAGAAGATTATCCATATGAGATAGGTTTCATGTGATTTGTGAATGAGAAGTAAGAAAGTAATCAGAGTCAGTAAAATTGTTCTAAGAAATGGGCTTTATAACAAAAGTTTGGGATGATGACAAGAACCATGTTTAATCAACCTCAGCTGTCAGTAGTTTGTGATCATTCCTGATGTCATTTCCTCACACAGAAAATAAGAAATACTATGAGCCCCTTTTCTTCCTCCCACCCCTCCTCCGCCCCAATGGGATTGTGAGATGTGTTACTTTACCATACGTCTCTGTGTATTGTTATGATTTTATTTCATGCTTTTATTGCTCTTTATTCTTTATCACGAGTGGATGCAGGGTTCGCAATTTTGTTGTGCAGAGATGGAGCCCTGGGCTCAACTCCCAGGGTACTCTCTGTGTGGAGTTTGTATGTTCTGTCCACATGTGGGTTTTCATCTAGGGGCTGCGGTTTCCTCTCCCAGTCCGAAAACTGACAGCTAGTAATTGGCTTCTGGGAAAACTGGCCCTGGTGGAAGTGTGCGTGTGTGTTTGTGTCTGTTGGCCCTGTGATGGACTGGTGTCTCCTCTAGGGTGTCCCCCACTTTTCCTGTGCCCCTGAACCAGGAGAAGTGGTTAGATGAGTAGATGAGTGAAGCCGTGTGAGTGTTGGAGTCTGTGTGTGCCCTGCAATCGACTGGCATCCCGTCCAGGGTGTGTCCTGCCCAGGGCCCTGGTGGCCCCATGACCCTGTACTGGATTAAGTGGTTCAGAAAATGGATGGATGATATGACACAGTGAGCACTCATTAGGATCCACCAAGCCTGTTGTTCAAATCCACTCTAATAAAGCAGGAGTTACTCACATTCCAGTCTATTGTTCCAAAGAAAGGGTGCCTCTTAATTTCCTCCACTCCATCAGGCCCTGCACCTTGGGCAGAAAATGCATACTGTATGTTCATCACATTGATGGGCAAACTGGAACAATGCAATCTTTCGAGAAATATTCTAATTCTAATGCTGGTGTTTTTTACATTGAGGACAGGGACCTTGTTTTATCATATGACTGTACTGTAACTATTGCTAAATGGCTCTGTGGCTAAAGGTTGCCGGTTCAAATCCCATAGCCGGCAGAGTAATCCTTCTCCGTTGGGCCCCTGAGCAAGACCCTTCACCCCAGCTGCTCCAGGGGCGCTGTATAAATGGCTGACCCTGTGCTCTGACCCCCAGTTTCTCTTCCTGTCTGTGTGTCTCATGGAGATCAAGTTGGGGTATGCGAAAAAGACAAATTCCTAATACAAGAAATTGTACAGTATATGGCCAATAAAGTGATCTTATCTTATACTTAGTGTCATTCGAATTGCACCTGTTAGATACAGTACTTCTGTGTTATGAGAGTAGCATTTGGTAACATGAGTTGCTTTCATAGCTTTTTCAAAGTACTTGAACAGTGACTGATATGACGAGAGATGAACTCCAAAATCATTAATTTAATCTGTCTGGATTTTCCACTGACCTATTTTGTTAATTGTATTAAATGGTACATAAAATTTCCTGGTCCGTGTTCAAAGACTTTCTTTTCTGTGTCCTAGTATAACACAAAGCACAGCAACAGCTGAACAAGGGAGACAAATTAGCACTGCACCAAGACTTTTCAGATCACCACGCTGTGGGGGTGAAATAGTTATTTAACACGTCACATAATAACCAAGAATTAAATCACAGAACAGAACAAAAAGCAATTGGAGAAAAATTAAATATAAAATGCAAAACATTAAAAATAAATAAATAAAATGGAAGCATAAAATTCAATATGGTTTTCTTTCATTTTTATACATGCCAAATACTGTACTGTATATCCAATAGCATGGCTAATTAGCACTCAGTCATCTTTTCATGAGAAATTCTGCATGTTAGGTATACGTTACTAACCTAATGTAGATACAATGCATGTATTACAATTCCTTCCATTAAACCTGCTCACCATGGGTTTTAATTTTAGAGACATGTCATCCTGATACACAATTGCATATAGACAATAAATTCTGATAAAGGATGTAAGATCTGTTTGTAATTCTTGCCCCCATTTCCCTTATCCATGATATTTAATTAAACTAATGTTAAGTAAAGGTGACTAGAAGCAATGGAGCATATTTTCACATTTCAAATAACTGTTGGTAATTGTCATATTCACTGCTTTTTAGAAATCAGCGCTAAAGTAATTTTTTCAGTATTTGTGGAATGATTTTTTTCTGCTTTAATTATAATTTTTGGTGAGCTAAATGTAGATTTCTTGAAAAGTGCTCAAAAATAAAATACAATATTATTAAAGTTTATGACTAAACATGATCACCTAAACATTAAATATGCCTGAATATAGATTTAAATGGCAGCATGTTTTTCTACATACCTAGTCTATTGCTGGGATTTCTTTTAAAAAGTGCTCGTAGCAAACTCTGAACTTCTGGGCTTAAAAACTGAGGCATGCCGAGCTTTGCTCTGGAAAAAAAAAAGAAAAAATATTGGCATTAGATTAAAAATTAAATGAAATAATAAATGAAGAGCCAAGTATGAGTATGTACTACTACAGTGTCCCCGCAAGGATCTGAATATTTATTCAAATATGGAGGGGAAGCAGGAAATATGAATGAGCAGAATTTTTAATAAAAGGACTAAAAAACATTTTTTGAAAACTTTTTTGCACTGAAATATACATATTTTAGACATAATGTAATTTAGGTTCTCAGTATGATACCTCTGAGATGTACTGTTGTGTACATGCACAGTAGCAGGAGCATCTGCACAATAATAGGTGCGGACAGGTATAACTTCTTTTTCTGCCTGCACAGCAGATCTAATTTTGTGTTGTACTGAAACCAGACTTACTTGAGAATTAATGCCATTGTCTCCTTTCTGTCCTTCCCTTGGAAAGGCAATGATCCAGTCAGCATTTCAAACTGAAATTTAAAGAAGGTGTTTATAAGGTTACTTCAGATGCTTTATTGCAGGAATGATGTAAACTGTAATAATTACCAATGTGTTATTACCTATATTACATCCCTTTAAATAACAATATTCTTTCTTGCTTGTAAACTCAAACCTTTTAGTAGAAAACTAAACTGAAGTCTCATGATGTAATAAAAAAAGCCAGAACAACCGAGTACAAGTGAAGTTCTTGGAGGTTTTTCTATGTATTGTAAATAAAAGTAAGACTTGCACTAGACTGTTTTGGATCTACAATCTTGTTATCTTTTATTTACTGTTTTAGATTTTCACATACCTGTAGTATAGCTCTGCTATTAATGTAACAAAAAGGGAATATTATTGTAATGTAGAATTACATTTTAACTAGAGTCAATTTGTGTCACCTATATCGAAATGTGTGAACATAGATGTCCAGCAAGGCTGATTGTTTTAAGATAGTCATTACCTTCTCACTGTCATTAATCGGATTTGTGCTGGGCAGCACTTGTTGTAGAAATTGCATTAAGCTACAATCTCCCCGGCTATTCAGTCCTCAACTCCAATGAAACTGAGATTTTACTGGCTGTGCTATTTTCGCTCTGAGATTATTCTGGGGGCAGATTCAGAGTTCCTGAACAAATGTAATAGTATTTTTAGCAAAGAAAAAAGAAGGGTAATGAAATAATGTATGTAGTAACCTGCAGTGTAGTATACGTAAGTTCTTCAAGAAAGAAAAAGATCACATGTATTTTTTTTCCCAATGGTATCTTGTAATCAGTCAAAGATAGCTTTCTAACAGAAGCAAATTGCCTTTGATTGCACACCACTGCTAGTCGGATGAAACAAATCATGTTTTCTATTCCTATGTCTGACAGATGCTGTGTACAAACCACGTGTTGCCATAATTATACAGGCACATTTTTCTGCATGCTAATATCAAAATCTGATGGGGTAAACATGGGTATACCCAACAGAAGAACAGTTTAATATCTATCTTTATAACAGCAGATGAAAAATGATACTTAATAACAGACTATTTTAAATAGCATGCAGCAAAGTGATTCATTTACATTTTTGGTGCTACTGCATGTAGTTAAGATTTGAAGTGCTTAAAAGCATAAGCACTAATAATAGGTTCACAGGCCCACAAGTTGTTCATAAACACAATGTTTAGTGAAAACAGAAAAAACAAACTGATTATAATGAAGACTTGTTTCTAAGTGTATCATTAATATTATAGTATCATTAATTATTTAAATGACTTTGACAAAGTGTGACATAGTGTAACTTTACACAGTATACTTATATCCAGATTGATCTTTTTCTGATAATTTCTTTATGTCTCACTGTGCGTTAATACATTATGTGTTAGACTAGTAGTAAGTTACTAGGCAGTTGTCCCACCCCTAAGTAGATGGCAGCCCTCAGGCTCCATGAGCAGTCTGTTGATCTGACACTGATAGGACACACCTCCAGCTCAGATTATTTCCCTTTTGGACTGAAGAAGAGACTGATCCCCCTACAGTACAGTATGTCCAGCCTGCTGGTTTTGCTCTTTTCTAACTTGTTTGTTTTGCATAATCGGAGCAAATCTATTTTTAGTTCTTTTGCATTATGAAATGCTCTCCCTTAAATCCCAGAGTTTGCCTAACATTGTATCATTTTTGTTTTTGTGAGCGGATTTCTCTTCTGCCCTGAAATGATATTTGCTTTCTAATCCCCTAAGGGTATATCCTTTCACATGCTTAATTTGTTTTGCTTAATTTCCTTCTTCTTGTACATGGTATTCACTATTTAGCAGCTAATATCAACATTTTTTTAGTCAGGGCAGATTTGAACAAAGCTCCTGCATGCAGCTTTTGGCGCTTGTGAAAAATGACATACCATTAAAACACCAAAGGACCACCAGTCTGCACTTTGTGTGTGTCCTCTTCTGTTCACCACCTCGGGGGCCATATACTCTATTGTTCCACAGAACGAGTAGGCTCGCTTGTCATGGTCTATTGCCTCTTTGCTGAGACCAAAGTCTGAAGGACAGGAAAGAGAAAAGCACATTATAGCAGAAACCTCTTCAGGCAGCAAGCATGATGGAGGATGCTGCAGAGAAATCTACATCCACAGCACTGCGCTCACCTGTTATCTTGATGTGCCCCTCTTCATCGAGAAGGATGCTGCAAAAAGGTCAAGAGCAAGGAATTAGAAATGAGTCTGGCAAGATGCAAAGAGTAAAATTCTGTTACTCTACAAAAACTGTAGCGGGCTTCTGATAGAAAGCTTCCTGTGAGTAATTAATTACTGAGACATAAAAGCAATTACTTGTTTATTATTTGTTACCATGCTGTGCTAGAGGAGAAAAAACACTTGCCCTGTGTCACTCTGTAAACTGGTGTTGGGACCTGATTTAATACTGATTTTCTTGATAGTTCTCTTCATAATTTAAAACCTCACCCTTATCAAATTATTCACACAACACTAATTTTATAACAGTATTATTAGCATTTCATTTTTTTCTCTAGATCTTTTTAGATTTTCTTCTCTAGATCCTTTGCTCTCTAACACGTATAAATTCCTACTCTTACTGTATTTGCTAGATTGGCAGGATCCCTGAAATGTGGTTAGCACTAGCCTCCAAACATCAGTGATTAACAACTTGAAGTAATAAGCGCCTAGTTAATGTAGTGTTATCTTTTGAAGATTCAATGAAAGGATAGGTGCAACAATTAAATCAATACGAGCATGTCTAAAATAAAGAAATCTCTATTAAAGTGAACAGTACTGGACAGCTGTTACTGAGGCAGAAAAAGGCACAAAGTTGTGATATTAAGGAGCACATGAGACTGTTCTGCTCAGAATTATCTAGGGACTGCTCTCGTTATCATTAATTATTCCTGCTGAATTACAATTTATAATGTCTCTGTTATGCAGTGGTAGTATAATACAATGTATTTCATCTGATTATTCATGCAAAATCTGCAGGCAAAATGCCATTATAAGGCAGATTATTAACACCTCTTGTACACTCCTGTTTCCGATACTGAAACAGGTGATCCAAAATAATATTCTCTTCACAGTTCCATACATGCACTATAAATTCTTTGCCTTCAAATTTTTGTTGAGCATATAAAGATTCCTGGAGGTCTCCTGGTTCATTGCACTGCTGAATCCAACATAAGACATAATTTATTCTTACTTTTCTGGCTTCAGATCCCTGTATATTATCCCAAGACTGTGCAGGTGGTCTAAAGCCAAGGCCAGCTCAGCTAGGTAGAATTTGACATCTTCTTCTGTAAACATCACCTACAGTAGGTAAAAAAACCAAACAGATAAAATGTTATTCCATTCTATTGGCTTAATTACTATGCTCTCCTCCCCACTGAGAGCTGATGTGTGGCGAGTGTTCTGGCGCACCATGGCTGCCGTCGCATCATCCAGGTGGAGGCTGCACACTGGTGATGGTGGAGGGGATCCCCATTACCTGTAAAGCGCTTTGAGTGGAGTGTCCAGAAAAGCGCTATATAAATGTAAGCAATTATTATTATTATTATTATTATTATTATTATTATTATTATTATTATTATTCGTGTATTTTCTAACCCCTTCTAACATCCAGTTCAGGGTCGTGATGGAGCCAGAATTCATCCCAGCAAGCAACAGGTGCAAGGCAGGATACACCCTGGAGTGGACGCCAGTCAGAAGACACAAACAGACACAAACACACAGGTTTCCCAGAAGCTGATTAACCTACTAGTAGGTCTTTAGACTGTTGGATGACACTGGAGCACCCAGAGGAATTCCAAGTAAACATGGGGAGAACATACAAACTCCTTGGGGTAAGTTTGTTACCTTCAATGCTTAAATGGTTCATATGGTCCAGTGATTGACATCTAACTGTATTTTCCATCTACAGTATATATTTATCCACATTCAGTCACCTTGTCCTGGCCAGTGTCAAGGGGTAGCTGCATTTTTATGTTAGTAAATTATTGAGAACTGCAGATATATTACAGAAATGGTATTTCAATACTTCCATTTGTGTCTAAAATTGTATTATGTGGGATTTTCTTTCCAATGGGTGGAGAGGTACAAACAGCAATATTTTCTGGCATCAAAAACAGCAGCACATCTGTCTGGCATGCATACAGGTTTCTGAGTGTTGGACTGCAGCCCGTTCCTAACAAAGTCAAATCTGCTACTAGTGTTGTTCCAACTGCTTTAGTGAATAAACGTCTTAGTTTGCTTGAACAGACAATTATCAGCTCTCCAGTTGCTTGTAAGTAATTAAAAGACAGAACCTACTTGCAAACTCAGTCAAAGCATAACATTTGCACAGATGGGTGCATACAGCGTCTAGGCGCATTAAAAAGGAGGGTTTTTGAGCGCTTGGCAGATTAGTTGTTTTTTTTTCACAGTAAGCAGCTGATGGAAGTGAGAACTGAAGCTTTATTTGAAGGCACAGATGTTCCCATTTACGTTTACTAAAAGGCTAATTTTAGCAAAGACTAGATACTTTTAGTTGTAGCCTCTTGCAAATGTCATACAGGAGACACTGGCATCAGAATTGAAAATAAAAGGTAGAGCTGGTGATGAGAGAAGAAAATAATGGTTAACATTCTGCCTCCCTGTTGAGATGAATTAATTTGACGGTCAGCAACAGGATGAAACAATGTTACTATTTGGTTTATATTTCTTAATTTCCAAAGTGAAGAAGAACCAGGAATGGTACTAATTAGCTATTGGAAGCACATTTGAGTGAAAAAAACACAAGCACCAGGTTAATTATGTTGTGTCCATCTTAATAGAGTTTTTAATGTACCTTAATGCAGCTCTGCGTGAGTGATGTATTATCCCACTGCACAAGCCCTTGTGCAATTAATCAAAGCATACACCTCTTAATCTACCTGATGGTAGCAATCTTCACAGGAATGTGTTTGTGATAAAGTGCCTGTTCGCCAAGCGTGAAACAAATTTCTTCAACGAATCAACATCCGCAAGATTGCAGAAAACTCATATCCTGTGTGTGTAATGGGACTGGGAGGAGGAGACTAGAACAGCTGACTGTGTCAAAGACTTGAGGACGAAGGGGGTCAGGGCAATCTTGACCTCTGCTGTAATCTTTGGCTTCAGCCCTTCATTACTGAAACACTTTTCACCAGCAGGGTCATTGAGGTAATCAATGTAATTAAGAGTCCATATACTAAATAAACTATTTGCAAGTCTACAGTCCTGGAATGGTCTGTCAGAGGTGCAAAGATGCATGAAAGTTGTTACTTCGTGATATAAGGTCTGTTCAAATTTCAAAACCAAATTCGTCTTCAGGTTATTGTTCCAACCATGGTTTACCGAAGTCATAACTGAATTTAACTGGATGGCAAGTCATTTTCAGCTCTGCAAAAGCCGAAAGTCCGGGCTTCCCAAGTGGTTCAACTAGGAAAAGGCCCTCGCCCCGATTGCAGTAGTTTTATGACCATGGGTTCGAGCCTGGGCCTGGCTCGTCAGGACCTGACTGTGAGTTCCTCAGGCTTTGGGGCACAATAACTTGAGCACAGAGACAGTACAACTCCTGCAGCCACTCAGGGAGACACGCCTCTGCCAATTGGAGCCAGAGCCAGTGCTTTGAAGGTGGGTGAGTTGGGAGACTCTGCCCACGCCTTCTCATTTTCCCCTGTGTGATATCCTGGGGATCATAGCTACAAGCCAAGATGCGAAAACCACATAACTAGCTGTTGAAAACTGGTAGAGAATAAATAATATAATTATTGATCCTAATTTCAAAATAAAACTTGAGATTTAACTAAATTTTGAGACCACATGTTTAACTCACAGCCACGTGCACCTGGAAGTGCACAAGTATGGAAATGAACCCACTGTTTTCAGTGCTCACCTCTTCACATTCCTCCACCCCATCTTTATGCTTGCAGAGGGCAGCTCTGTAACTGGTGCTGGGGGTACAAATATCCTTGTCATCACTGATAGCGTCTCATTCCCTCAGCCAAGTGGGAGTAATGCAAAATCTGTATCTCAGATTGTTCATTCTACTCAAACACTGAATGCTATTCATGGTCTGAAGCTATTGAAGAGAGTTTAACATTTAGTCAACATCATTAGTTTAAGGTTTGGACTGTATGAAGTTCAGTGGGGACTTGATGCAACACATCATTACCTTTCCTTCTCATAGATAAAAGTAATTGTAATGCACACACACATATATCTATATGTATAAGAGTTCCACGTCCTTGTTCTGACATCATCCTGTAAAATGATTTTCGCCATGAGGGTCTGTTTCCAAAGACAGAAAAGATAAACTGGTTTAAAATGATAGCTTTTGGTGTCCGTGATATAAGTCTAATTAAACTGATACTAAGGTTTGTACAAATTCATCTTGGAGAATGCTTAAGCAATTAAACGTGTACAGTATGTTTTAATGCCTTTCATTTGCAACAGAATAAAAGAAAAATGTAAATTAAGATAATTGACTAACATGCGTTGCCAGTTATAAGCTAATAAATCAGGAATGCTTTGAATAACAGGTTTTGTTCTCATTAAGTGCTCTTTTGTGTCTTCCTTGAGAGGCCCACAGATGGAAGCAGGGATCTCCAATTAGCAAGATCAGACAGAAAAAAAAAACATAACCTCCAATACAATCAGTTAGCTTCATTTGAACATTTTCATAAAGGTCGCTTAAGCACTGTTTGTATGTTTTAAAAAGCCAAGAACAAATCAGTATTCCACTAATTAAATTCTTGTGGCCTATTTTAAATCACCATGCAACAGTTCTATTGAGTTTTTGGTTTTTCATTATTAACCACACAGTAGGTGCTAAAAACTGTGGACATTGCATGATTAAATTGCATTCCAGCTCATATTCTCTCAGCAGAGGATTCTGACCCAGGAAGCGCATTTGTAAAATAATTTCCATCAGGAGCAGAGTAGGTTGTTTTTCTTCAGACTTAGGCCATGTACAACTGATGTCATTTTACAAACATAGTCTGTTATGGCATTTTTTACACACTCAGAATGGAATAGCCATTTCTTCCTAGAAAAAAAGGATTTGGAAATGTCTTTACATTTATCCATGCCTGCTCATTTACTGTACTTCATAGTTTTTTGTATCTTTTATAGTAAAGCTCAATATTTCTGGATTTGCATCAAGAGAGATGCTGGCAAACGAGGAATCAAACAGCTTTTTGTCAGTGCACTGAGCAAGTACAGTACCTTTAGGGATCTTATGAATATTTTCAAGACTTTTATTAAGACTCATTATTTTTGCTTTTGGTTATATTGATGTGCATGGGCCCTTCCTATTTGTCACGCTCGCTGGGTTGGGATTTAATTAATCACATTTTTGTAGGATATGTCAGTTAAATGGAGAATCAATTACTGATAACATATTGTGTTCAATATCTGCTTACATAACATCACAATGGCATTACTATGCTCAAGGCACTTTCTGTAAAACACATTCACAACTGAATGAGCAAATTAGCTAATTTTAATTAGAGATTCCTTTTTGATTGAGAACTCAACATTTTATCATGGGATTTGCAAAAGTGATTGAAAAGATAATTAAATTTGATGTGCTGTATAGCGGGTTCATTGTGTTCTAATTGCAATCTGAGGTCTAGATGTGAGTCAAAGTTAAGTTAAAATCTAATTTTGTTGCTTATTATTCTAGCATCAGACAACATCATTTCAATGTATTGTATTAAAAGTACCAATGTTATGCATATAGCTTTTTAAACTTGCAAAGTTGATTATTTTGCAGTGTTTTAATATGTAGCATGCAATCCTATTCTTGTTCCATTCATTTTACTGGTCGAAGATTTTTAAGATGAAAGCATAACATAGAAAGCAATACATTTTAGACTGTCAAGCTAAACAAAAAAACTGACCTCTTTGGATAGACGTGTGAAAAGATCTCCACCTCTCAGAAAATCTAAAATAAGGTACAGCTTTCCTTCAGTCTGAAAGGCTGTAACAAAGAAATACAGATAAATGGCCAAGTTAAATGTTTCAAACCTTATTTAAATCAAAACAAATTTCCAAGCGCTAAAAAGGTATATACTTATGAGATGTTTACACATTACGTACTTGATTTTGAGAAAATACAGCTTATACAAAGAAAATGCAAAAGCTGTTTTGGTTAGTTACTTAGGACAGCCATAGAAAAACTGGAAATGGAGAATTCTTGACAATCTTCCAGACAGACAAATTGTTTCTCATTTTCTATTATAATAGGGTGAAAGAAGGACTACAGTATGTATGTATATAACCACATTAAACCCATTAAGAATTTCTCCAAAGGAAGTTGGTGCTTAGTCATCTGCCTTTGTGATAGCATGCACTGGGACAATGTTAGGTATGTTTTTCCCATCTGTTTTTTAAAGACAAAGCACTCATTCGTACTTCAAGGCTTTAAACAAGCCTGAAAAGATTCCGTTACTCCACCTTACAATCACTAAATAGCAGAACCCTCTACAGAGGTTTGCACAGTAAAATACAAATAACATGTCAGTGATGATTAAGACTAGACTGTAGTTCTGTTAAATAGGCCCAGTCGTTGATGAAAAGAAAGAAATCATGACACAGTCAGTTAAGTAGAAAACAACTTCAATGTACTGAATGCAAGCTTTAAAAAGCTGTGCCAGTAACACATCTGACGATTGCTCATAACATGAATGGAAAACTAACACTGCATTAAAGCGATCTTTAGTACAGCATGCTGCACATTGACATAAAAATATTGCATACTACATGTGTTTCCACATGGACAACTTATTCTATGTGCAGTAAACCTCATCTCTAGATTTGTTGGCTTATTTAAGACTTAAAATTAATTCTTACTGTAGTGATCTGCCAGTGACTGCCTAGTAGCAGTAGCATCCTGTACTAAACTATGAGAAATAAAAGCAACATGCTGTGTAAATCTGTTGAAGAATACAGTCCAGCTACTATTATGCTCTGTGTACCTGATGATGTACTTTTTCTTGCTTCACATTTTACATTTTGTTCCTTAATTCAGAATAAAGTGTTTGCCATGTGGATTCAGAGTCAGAGAGAAAGGACGACTTATTATTGTACTTGCCTCTCTGAAGAGCCATCTACAGTTCATGTATGTGAGATGCAAGGGACATTTGTATGAAGTAACTGTGTCAAAAAGAAATGAAAAATTCCAAAGCCTCATTTTACTATACTTTTTAGGGTCTTTGCCTGCCTTTTCAGTGAAAATAAGTTATAGCTTTGCTATATTGTCGTTTGTTATTTACATGCATAACATGACTAATCCAATAGACACTGTAGTCTCATTTGAATACCTCTGTAAAAAAAGTTAAACACAGCTCTCCAAGTAAACACATCCCTGTCTTTGGAGATGGCTGGACATGATTTTAATGCTTGCATACACTTAATGAAGAAATAAAGGAAGACAGAGATGCATTACTCACCGTAATGAAGTTTAACTATGAATGGGTGATTCACTTCAGCCAGAATATCCCGCTCCATTTTTGATCTCACCCTGTCGCGAACTGAAGAGCAAAAAGAACAATGAAGAGTAAAAAGCAAATTTAAATCGCAACAGGGGCCTCGTGTGGGCTCTTTCTTTAGAAAATCTTGCATTCTGACAGACATGGGATTCGGAAGACATGAAGGGAAAGAAAATTCCCTTCCTCTACTTCACAAGACATAATATGTCTCCCAGGTGTGTGTGCCTTGGCAAAGCCTGTAAAGATAGGTGAAGCCTGAAAGCAGAGTGATTTCTGTGTAGTGCCTTCATTAGGACAGAGGACAGCAGGCTCGTCTTAGCAGGTGGATGAAAGCAACCTGCCAAGACTCATGAAACCTGTGCCTCTTCATGAAACTGATTGCAGTCCTTGATGTGATGAAGTATTGGTAACAACACACACATGCTAGGTCAAACAGCCTCCTACCATTAACTACTGCTTTGTGCAACTCAAGAAGTATTTGCATATTTATAAATAACTAAAAACTAAACATTTGAATATGAACACATCCACAAATGACATGGGAAACTAAACACACGTGTTGAAAATGAAAAATGATAGTGAAAGTGATAAAAAATACAATTGGTGGCTGTAAGGCTTTAGGAAAATATGTTTAGATTCCTTACAGAACTTCTTCTATAAATTACTGCATTGATCCTGAAATTGGATATATGTTTCAATATCAGTTAAAGAGATGGTCATTCGAGGACAGTAAATGAGATCGGTGCTGCTCAGGTCTAACTGGAACCTTATTCAGCAGTGCTAATTGATGCCTGTAATTGATTTGTTTACTTATTTAGACCTTTTTCTGTACTAGACCCTGGCTTTAAAATACCCCATTAAGTCTATATGTTTTTCAACCAAATTAGTACAGAAATTTATTTGAGTATATTGGGAATGTTCTTGTTTATTTCTGACTGACAAAAATCTTAATACCTGATCAGTTAATGAAAAACAAACTTGGGTGGGAAGTTTCGCAGTGCTGTTTTTCCTTCTGCAATTTCTTATACTACAGCTGGCCCAGGTGCTAAGAGCATCTCTGAAACTCAGGAACTGGCAAAGGGTGATTGATACCCAGTACAAGTCATGTACTGTACAAGATTGAAAGAGCTGAAAGAAGACTTAAATTCTATAATAAAACAGAAATCTGAAATTGATTCTCCTGGCTGGAGCCAAAAAAAAGGCACAGTTTATTTTCCCCCATAGAACCAGGGTTGGCACTAGAGTACAAAAATACCTAAACTCTGGGTTCTCCTCATTGTTTGCTATATGTGATTATCTCTGAAATGAATTTCTTTTAGGTCCCCCATAACACTCTTCTGGTATAAGCAATATGCATATTTTTTATTTACCATGCAATGAGACTGCTGCTGCTAAGATGAATTACTTGCTGCTACCTGAATGAAGTGCTAATGGCACTGTGCACACAATGCTTTAATAGGACCTGTCTTCTCTCTCGATGTGACACGGTGTGGTAGTAACCATGGTTACACCTGCAGTGTAGGAGGTAGGTCTCAGAGGTTACGGGGGCACTGTTGGAGCAGAATTACAGCTATTATACGTCTTAACTAAAAACTGCTGCCTGCAGAGGTACTCTAGGTTAGGTAGTTGTTAAAGACCAAGACTGTGCCCTGCAATTTTTTTTCTCTCCTTTGTTTATCCTTAACATAAATTTAACAATCAAGCTGATGTCTCTACCAGATATGACGAAGAAATCTATGATTACAAATAAAGGCACTGAATGGAACTTTATTGATTTTTAATTTCTGCTGTATGTCTGAAGGCACATTTCCAGACTCTAGGGAAGAACAGACAGGTAGAAAATATATATTTTACGCTCTTCTTTATGTGCGTATTTTATTTTAATATGAATACAATAATAAATGCATATTATATTTAAAAAGGGCTTTTCATCTCAAAGGATCCCAACAGGCTTCCTGCACCATAGAAAACATTTAGAACAAGCCTCACAGAACTGTTTTTGTGAGCAAAAATGCAACATCAGTTGAGATTGTTTTGCAATTGCATTATTTTAAATAAAATATTTAATGATTTTTATACCTCTCTACACTCTTCATATACAGTACATGTACAGTACGTCCCATCTTATGTCAGGGTATGATTCACACAGTCTTATGTGAACTAAAATCTATGTAAGTCAAAACACTTCACACAGCTATTGTTACTCTTGATATTATTACAGTACAGTACGAATACAAAATTACACTTCTACAAGATAATTTACAGTATACTTGAATGATTAAATTGTATTCTTGATGAGTAATTGTATGGAGCTTTATCGAGCATAGCACCAACATCTTTCATGTCACTAGAATGCTTTCAATCACAGCTAAGAGGGCAGAAAAAGCAAACACTGGAGAAACACAACAGAAGTTATTCCAGACAACACACATTTGAGAAATGATACACACATGTGGCACCATGGAACAAGACTGAGGCTGCACACAATTTTCTATCATAAATTCAGATTTATGTTAAGTCATCAAATATCCATATTCCCCTTCATTCACACTCCTGGCCTTTACTGTCCAGTATGTGCCAGTAGCTTCACTACCCACAGTATAAATCCTTAATACTATAACAGGTTCTGAAATGATTCATTCACATTTGGCCCAGAGTATTTGGAATGGTGTATTTGGAGTCGAAATTATGCTTTTGGGTGATTTGGTTCATCTGCGACAAAACTCTCTGCTGCATACAAAGTAGCTCCAGGATCTCCTCCTTTTAGTAACTTGTACTTGGGACTGCCATCACTTGTGGTTTGCTGTTAGCCAGTGTGTGCTGTTCTTGTGATGTGTCGCATTATTATTTGGGAAGATGGTGAGATTCAATTCCCTTGATTTCGCAAGGATAATATCACAAAATGAACTTCCAATTGTGATTTCCTGGTGCTAATCTTTTATTTTGTTTCTAAGTTTTGCTGAGGGATAAAATCAGAGAATAGTCTAATCAGTATAAATCAATGTGGCATGAAATTTGAAAGAATACTGCTACTGCTCATTTGATTTTCAGGCTTTAATAGGATAGCTAGCGACAACAATATCATGCTCCTCTGCTAGTTACGATATCATCATATACAGTCATTATATCATGGTGGACTTTGCTTTGATAACACTGGCCACTGAGCCATTTTCTAAGGCTCTTGCTTTTTGACACCATTGCAGTTCATTCACAGATGGTGACTCTCTGTTCAATATCATGCCTGGAAGGTTCTCTGCTAATTAAAGGGCCTGCACTGCTTGACTGAATCATAAAAAGGAAATATTCATTCTCATAAAAGAGGGCTTTAAAGTACTGTCTAAAAAGAAAGAGAAAGAAAGCTGCATTAATTTAATTTACCGTCTTTCATCATTTCAGATTCCTAAATAAGCAAACTGAAAGTCTGGCCTCAGGCAGCACTTAAACTGACATGCTGTATGATTGTTACCACAATGATCTCTCACTCTTATACAGTGCTTCCTAGTCTCAAATGAACCACAGTATACAGTAGTTACCTCAGAGAAACACAGAGATTGAACTTTATTTAACTTTCAAAATAATTCTCACATTGCCTAGAACAGCCTTTGTTTCCAATACCTTTCAGTGTGGCTTTCTTCAGTACCTTCATAGCATACAGTTGTCCTGTGTCAGTGCCTTTGATTTTCCTCACCAAAAACACCTGAAAATATGACAGAAAGAGCACAGAAAATGAGACTGCATATCCACAGCCATCTGACATTGATTCTGTCATTCGTATGAACCACATTTCTGTCTAAAATTAATTAAAGAGAAGATGGCAAATGCTGTGTTACAGAAATCCAATGAATCTGTTTAAACCAGGGCCAATGTCCTCTGTCAATAACATGAAAAGATTAGCTTCTTAGAAGTATGCTTGTAGGCTATTTCTTGTCACATTCACCGACATATCATTTTCAGGAACCCTCTTGAGAACATACAGTACCTGTATCAACACATCTTTTTATCAGTTTCACTTCTGTACTATAGGCTGTTTGAAAGTGACTTAGGTTACCTGTCTGCAGAATAGCAAGAAAATTGAATTTGACATTTGCTACTTAAGCAAGCAAACAAACCTAACTACTCATAGTTAAATATATCTGATAGGCTTTTTGGAGTTATTCAGAGATGGATTTTTCAGTTTGTGATGTAAATCATTTGTCCTTACTTTAGGGGTTTGTTCTTTAGATTCAGTTATTTAAAAACAAAATCATTTAAAGATACCCTAAGGAAACCCTTTCACTGACAGGCAAAGCAATAGCCTTTCTACTTTAGTTTATTCTGTATATACTGTACATGTACGTTATGACATTATTAATGCTTGCTGTTTTCACTATTCTATGTCTTCAGGGTGCTGTGGAACATGTTTGATGACAACAATTTGATTATATAATGTCACATTGAAAGTCTTACCTTTCCATAGGAACCTTGGCCTAATACTTTGAGAAGCTCAAATTGAGAAGGGTCTGCTTTTTCAAAACCTTCTTTTACATGGTGACTAATGTCAATTTCTTTAACAATACCTTCATCCTGTAAAAAAGCAGATCATATTTTGATATAATCAGTGTGAAATTATTTGAAATGTAAGGTATATGCTGTAAATACCTGCAGAAGAAACACAAATACATAATGCTAACTTCTAGTTTAAGTTTAAGGTGGCAGAAACAGAGTGCAAACACACATACTGTCCACTCCCTCATATCTGCCTCCACCAGTCCCTAGCTCATAAGGCGCTGGGACTCTGTGAGTGGCATGAACATGATGGGAGATTTATGTATTCCAGTATATTGTGAAATTCCCCTATTCTTTCCCAGGAGTGCTTTCTCTTCAGCATGTGGTAAGGAACTGAACAGTATGTTCCACTGTTCCCACCAGTTTTCAAAAAGATCTGAGGATTGCTCCTTCTAGTGAAGATGTAGAGGTCCATGGGAATTGTACACAGAACTAGAAAAGAGGTCTTGCTGGTGCAGTGTACAATTTTAACCCGGTTAAACACTGTAAGCCAAGCCGCTTCTTTCTTCCACTTCTGGATAAGAGTTCACAGATTAAATGTAGTGTATTTTCCCACTCTCACATTTTCACCATCAGTATATCTACTTGATCCTGAGTATATAATGTGCTAATGTTTGATAAAGTTCCAGGATGGTAAATGGATAGAAAACAGAATGGCGAATACTTAAATTGGAGTGATTTAAATACCATAGGTAAAACAATACCATATTTACATGTTGGTTTTACATGTTTCACTAATGGGATGTGTTGAATTTATTGTATATCCTAGTGAATTTTTGAAGGCTTACTTGTATGAAAATGTTTTGATGTAAAGTTTTGGGAACAATTTTTAATAAATTCAATGTGCAATACTTTTAGCTTACTATCATCAAACAAACCATTCTAGAACGTTCTGTAGTTAATACTTATATAAATGTTCTGGTAGTGCATGTCACAATACTGAGACTCATGGGTGTGTACTTCAGCCACAAAGAAGATTGCAAAGTAGAAGGTTTTACAGCCTTTCTAACTGAGAAACTGTTAATTTCTGTCCCATTATGTCCTCTGTTTACCAATCTGTTCCAATGTAACTGCTGTTAAAAAGCAACTAAAATGACACAGATGGCTTTAATTAGTCATGATGTATATTAGTTCACTTTATCTTACAAATGGTGAGTTCAGAATTTGTTTTCCTGTGGCACTGAATACATTTTGAGACTAAAGTATGCAATACTTTAATCCCAGAGAAGAAATATAATCAACACATAGAAGAACAGACAGCTACCTTAAATTAGTGTGATTAAATTCTGACTTAATACAGTCAGGCACAGTGTGGTTTTAAAGCAGAAGAGACATGGCAGAGTCTTGTATCCTGTGCACACAGATAATCACACATACACCGAAATAAGGAAAGGATAAATATCCTGAGACTGGTACATTTAACTAGTAATTCATTAAATGCAAATACACAGCTTTTTTTTATTTTAAATAAGTACAAGTGACTGACATAATTTATATTATATGTCAGACAGAGATTTCACAGTAGAACTTCTAGTGCATTGTATTAATTATTTCCATTGATATGTTCCAATTCCAGAGAAACATCATGTCAGTTCACTCTGAATCCTGAAGGACATGTCCTAATTATAATGACTTCAGCAATACTGCACTGCTGCAATGTGATTCGTACACACACAAACACACATATTCAGTCTTCGACAAAGAAAGAAAAATTGCAAAGGTTTTCAGAAATGTGATGTAAGATTATATAGTAGAATAGAATTTTGCTTCACATATTTTTCATTTTGCCAGGTAATTTTAAACACTTCAAGATGTCATGCCCCATCTTTTATTGAATTAAAAAGCTTACACAGTGTTTTGGGTCAGTTAATTAGATAAAAATGTCAAAGTAACAATAATGTTATTACGTCAGTGTCAGATCTATCTACTTGTCCCTCCATGCCTTTTGATTGCAATGATATTGTACAGTACATGATGTGTCTTATGATTTATTTATAACCTGGTATGTTTATTTACTTGAAAATTATAAACAGTGTTCCTTTCCTAATTAATAAGCTGCACAGGAGCCCCATTGGATTTTAAACAAAACTATTGTGAATTGTATCAGGCTTCATTGAATGCAGTAAAACTTGCACATTGGTATACACACTGTATTCAGCTCACAAAATCATTTTCACGTAATACTGTACACTCCTGTCTACTGTAGAACACCCAATCCTGCTGACTTTTCCACTAGATGAGTTGGTGCAGAAATCATAATCAATATCTTTAATATACTGTTAAAGAAGTTCTGTTAAAGAAACATTTATGTGCATGTTTAGGTCCACTGTTTGTGGTCTCTGGATGTACTGTATGGTGTTGAATACTATATGTATTATTCTTACATTGTAATAATTTAGGATGTTAAAAGGGGACCTTGAGATGCTCTGTATTTTAAGAGGTTGTCTTTTTCACAGGGTAATCACACTAAAGCTGTAAAGTACTTTTAACCCACAGCCACCAAGCAAAAACTAAAAGCTCTAGAACCTCAAGAGGATTGAAATGAAATTAGAAAAAAACCTGCCCTGAACAAGTAACAATCTCTCATACATCTTTATAGTGGTGCCTGGAGTCAGAATGAAATTTATACTTGTGTTGCAGGGATATTTATAGCTTCTTCCTGACTGAGGAAAAGTGCTGCTTAAGCAGGCCGATAGCTGAGTGTGCCTTCAGAGAACAAGAGTCTAGAACAGATAAAATAACATATTCTTTGAGTATTTCATCAAATTACCATCAGTGAAATAGCTTTGTTCTATTTCGTTTATAATTGCCCAGTAATATGAGCTAAGCAGGAGCTTTTTTCTTCTGTTCCATTTCTGTTTCTCCCCATTTTTGTCATTGGTAACTTACAGTTTTTATTATACACATCTACAGTAAATGTGCTAAAAATATTATTTTATTGCCACCATTGTTAAGAGTCAAAGTTTTGCTGATTTATTTCTTGTATCTATTACAAATATTAATACATAAAAAAACATGAACAATCTTTATCAATAAAAACTAAATAGCATATTCTTCACAACTGTTTATGCATTTACGGAATGTACACAAACCACTATACAGATGTACAACAAAAATGCAACAATTGTTTTTCACCAAAATACTGAATTTCATTTACAGTTCAAATTGTGAGGGAAAACATTTGTTAATTATTTTTTGTAATATTGTTGCTTGAGATATGGAATACCGAGTTCAAATAATGTGATTTAATAAAAATACCAAGTGCTTAGTGTTTGGTATTTGGTCATTTATAATACATGATTTTATTTAAACCAAGAGCATCTACAAATACAACCAAGTACCAGTGATAGTTGCTATATGCATATTTAAAGGTCTTTCTGGGCTGTCTCAGAGAGATGTTACATACAGAATGAAGTGTTCTCCTTCAGGAAACATCAGACTAGTCCAGAAACAAACCACACAGCGCTAGGATTACAATGGCAGGAAATCAAATAATAATGATACGATTATGTTCTTGTCAGCTTTTTCTCTGAGCATCTGAGGAAACAACTCACAAACACAGGAGGCTACTGTGACCAATCAACCCTTGCCAGTCAGCTGCAAAATATCCCACAGCAGTCTGTCCAGAGGCTGATCAGGTCCTTGCACAAGCATTGCAAGAATAGTGTTAATAGTTGAGGATGAGCACATATTATTGTGATTTTGTTTGATGTCTATCTTTAAAATATTTGTTAAATCCATCTGACCTAAATCATGTGTTTCTTTTGTGCACCAATATGCTTTTCTTCTCATGCCAATCAGCAATCACAGGGTATTTCTATTATGAGAGTTTAAATCGGACATCAATGTTTGCTACATCACAATTAATATGTAACTCACATATTGTACTGGCAAGCTAAAAGATTCAGGCACAAAGTCAAAGAGATTACAGTCATTAGTGTGGCTTTATATTAGTTTATCATAATGTGACTATGTCAGACAATCTAAAATGCAAATTTGTAGTAGGTGTTCCTTGGTTCCTACTGTCAAACTGTACAAGATGAAAGTGCGAGAGGACAGTGTATGTTTTATGAATATCCTGATCTACTCCTACAAAACAATAGGAGCATAATGCTTGGAAAAATAGTGACACTTCTGAAAAAATCAGTTAAGATCAGAATATCATTGATTCTTATGTTTATTTTTTTTATTCATGCTGTATTGGTCCAGCATACAGTAGTGGTGGAAGTGGGAGGGGCTCTCCTGTGCTCCAGAATAAGCAGACCAGGGCCCCAGTATGATGACTGAGAACACTGTACTACATGAGGTGCTGTCATTCATTGACATGCTACATTGTGCTGTTGTTTCCAATGTTTTTCTTTCTTTTACACAAGCAGATACCAGTTAATCCAAATAGATTTGGATGGTGTAGTAGTACAAAAGGACAAAAAGTAGCCCTTTAACTTTATGGATATTCTGAGAGGATCACATGATGATAATGATGAGGAGCACTTGACAAGGAGTCAATTAGATTTGAGAGGTAAATGTAATAGAATAGCTACAGTACTACTGCACTTCACATTGGATGCTCATGTATAGTTTACCACAAATGGTTGTGATCAAGCTTTTGAAGAATCTGATGTGAATTTAAGACTGCTTATGGACAGGCTTGGAGGATTATTCAAAGTCCTAGTGAATCATTAGACTTGTAATGAAGATGAACAAAATACTGGGGGTAAATATTGGGGGTAAAAAGGACCATTTCCTTTTCAATATGTACCTATACATTATGTACCTGTACATAAATGTGCAATCAAAAGTCAGTTTCATATGGCTTAGCTGGGTCAACCAGCTGCATTACAATGGATATCTGCTGAGAAATACACTTGTAAATTGGTATATTTTTCATGATAAAATTTAATAAATTAAAATCATTAAATGTTTCTCTTGAGCATTTGAATATAAATGTCTACACACATATAGGTACCAGTTGAGAGAGAAAAAACCTAATTAAAGGAGTTTTCAATGCATTTCTGTTC